CTTACTTCTCGTATGACCTTTTCTGGCAGGATGTTAAAATGATCACACAACAAACTGTCACCTTGTCGGAATCCTCGTTCAGTATAAAAGGGCTCCGAGAGGTCTCTTCCTACTTTAAATGCTGACCTTGAGCCACTCAATGTTATCCTGCATAGACGTATTAATTTTGCAGGAATGCCGTCCGCAGATATGGCTTTAAACCCCTCTGAACGGATAGGGCTGTCGAATGCGGTTTTATAGTGGAATGTGTCGATGTGTTTTTCGTGGGTCTTTTCCAAGATTTGGCGCAGTGTGAAAATCTGGTAAATTGTGGATTTACCAGGTCTGAAGACGCATTGGTATGGTCCAATAATGTCATTGACCATTGGCTTCAGTCGTTCACCGCCGATTAATATTTCAAGGTGTTTCAAAGGGTTTGATAAAAAAAATTCCCCAAAATTTCAACATTTTTACTATTCCAAACACTTTCGGATATGTTCTCTTCTATTTTGAATATTTTCGGCCATAATCAGGGATGGTCCGTGTGACGAATTTTTAGGTTTTCGACTGCCAAAAAGGTGTAAACGTCATATACTTGTATAAAATGTAATAAATGTAGTAAACGTCATTTATTTCAATATTATCAGCATATACATATATTTTCAAGAATATATATTATTTTTACGTATATCTGACTATTCCTTACTAGAACTGATAAAAATTTCTAAATTTTTTTGAGAATAAAATTTTGAAATTTTACTTTAATTTGAGTAAAGCATGCGTAGTTTCCAAATTGATTAATGGAAATTGATATTTTGTCAAAAACCTAATGGATTTGGGTAGGTTTCCGACGTTTCTGACGTATGTATTATACGTCGGAAAGGTATGTCATTTACGTCACTGTTTCTGATAGGCCATCTCTGGCCATAATGTGAACAACTCGCGGCTCAATTTCTATGTATTCCTCAAATCCACGAGGTACTTACTCTTGACTGGTTTTACTTCGAGGGTTTTTTGGGAAAATAATACGAAATACTGTGTTAACAAGTCAAAATATAACCAAAACAAAATTTACTATTTTTCACTATGTTTTCGCATGCGTTTGTTTACATCATGTCTTGGTATTTTGTTATTCACATAAATAATAGTTGTAATAACATCCTAGTCTTGCAAAGTTTATTTGACTAAATCTTCTTATCTTATTTGGAAAATAATTTACAATTTTACATCGTCGCTGAAAAGTCGGCAAACAGCAGCCCTTACAGTTATTTATAAACGGAAATTTTCGAAAACAGTTTGACGTTCTCTTTTTTTGCCAAAGAAAATAAAAGTTGCAATTAAATAACTGAGAAAAATGGTTGTAAACGGTAAGTGAACTGATAAAAGTTAATATTTAAGAATAATAAATTTGAGATGAAATGAACTAATTCACGTGTTTTGGATTAGAAACTATATTTTATTAACGGAATCTGGAAAATAGTTTAGATTTTTTGAAATTAGCTTAATGTTTACTTTACACCAAATAAATTGATAGTAAACAAAGTAAAAGTACACGATTTTTTGGGCATTGGGACTATGGGGACAATTGTGTTAGAATCGAACTAGTTTGTATATAGGTCATGTTTCGGTTAGTCCTTTTGGATTTTTTAAAAAAAATATTTAAAGAATATTTCTCAAGGAATTTTGAGCTTTCATGCTCACAAAATAACCTACGCCTATCCAAAACGAACCAAATTTCGAAATGGATACTCGAAAATAGATATTTATTTCATATACTCGCATAATTTAAAACAATTTAAATCTGAAGAGCACTTGCGTATAACCTCCACCGAAAGAAGTGCGTTAAAAATTGCTTTAAAATTGTCTGCTAGTAGGTTGTTAATTATCTGAAAAAATAAAACACAAAATTACAGACACTCAGATTGGAAAACTGTCCTTGGAAATTCACCGTATCGAAAACAACAAAGCTCCTATATAGACAAATTTCGTGGACGAAGTTTTTAATTCACCTCTGAAATGTTAAAATGTCAGAAATATTGAAAGTATGTGATCTAAGCCTAAACATGGACCAACATTGAAAAACTTCTACAAATTTAAAAAAAAAAAAAAACATGAAATTAAATCGAAATAGTTATGCAACAATGTCTTTCAACCTCCAAGAACCTAGAATGGGACATTAGTGTGAAAATACCCCATATTTTCAAACAACATACAAGTTTGGTTCAAATAGTTTACCCTTTTTAGGGGAGGTACCACAAGGAGTGGACTAATATTTCCCATATTTGAAGATGATTTGAATCGAACGGATATTTGTATTGCGGAACATTTTCTAAATTGAATTTGGTCGTTATATTCTTCCGGGATGAAATGTTTACACCATGAGGTGGTTATTCAAATACCTCCAGAAGAAAACGAATCAACAAATAAGCTTATATGGAAAATGACGTCCGACGGAAGAATATGTCTGAAATCCTTAAATAATTTTTGGTTGTCTAATTTGAATATTAAAGGGGAATACCGTTATATTGGGGCTACACCCAATATCAATATTAATAAATTTTAGGAAGTTGCATTGTATATTGAGAACCCCAAAATGCTAAATTACAGCCACTTCGTTTGCAAAACGTGTCCAACATCCCCAAAATACCGTATATTGGGGGAACCGTTAAATGGGGGGCAATACCCAAAACGTGGACAGCTATAGCCCATTTCCAATTTCAAGTGTCCAAGAAGTAATAGCAATGTCTGTATACAATTTAAAAGCTCTATCTTAAATATTATAATTTCGACAGTCAGGCAGACGGACATGGCTAAATTTGCAATTATGGGATCTCCGGCGTATCGAATTTAATACATGCTCCACCGTTCTTTTTTCCATTTCCAATTTCAAGCGTCCAAGAAGTAATAGCAATGTCTGTATACAATTTCAAAGCTCTATCTTAAATATTATAATTTCGACAGTCAGGCAGACGGACATGGCTAAATTTGCAATTATGGGATCTCCGTCGTATCGAATTTAATACACACTCCACCGTATGATGGATGAAATAAGAAGGTTCATTCTTTTTTTTTTTTGGACTGTTCCATTAGAGGCTGAGTGGTACACCACACTTTGCTTGACTGAAGTTTTCAGAGAAATTCGATTCGTCTAAAAGTAGATTGATGTCAAATCGTTCAAAAACCATGCTTTACAGCTGAAAATACTTGGGGATGATATATACAATATGTATACATAGCAAGGTCACCTCTCACCAGGCCAAACTCACACTCTACAAGACGCTGATATGATATTGAGAGAAAAATTCTCCGAAAGATCTATGGGTCAATCTGCGTTGACGGTGAATATCGCCGTTGAATGAGCTATAACATATATATATACATCGACATAATCAGACGTATCGAGCTGCAACGACTACATTGGCTAGGCCATGTTGTGAGAATGGATGAAGATGCCCCAGCTCAAAAGCCATATAAAAGCGAGCCAATCTGAAACATACACCAAAACATGCAGCCAAAACATTGAGTGGCCAACACTATCAATAGATCTTCACCCTATAGAAAATCTTTGATTTATCATGGAAATAAAAAAATTAAAAAAGTTTCACAAACAAACAGACATAGACTCTTCCCACAGGTTCAGGACGCAAGGAACAGTATATCTAGGATCAAATTGAGCATTTTAATAATGTTTATGCTTTCGATAACTAGCGAAATGTGCATATTTATAAGAAAAAATCAAAAAGTTGCTTTAGTTTTGACCAGGCAAAAATTGGCTCAAATTAGTTTTCCCATATTATATTTTTTATTTCAATATAACTTTTACGTTTATATCTTTTTTTAAGAGAATAAATTTCCTATTTAGTTCTAAAAAATCATTTATTAAAGTTTATTTTTAAAAATAGTTACAGGTTATTTATTCTGTTTGCAATTTCAGTTGCTTTAATTTTGGCCACAAGTGTATGTCGTAAAACTGCAGCGAAAACTTCGGTGAAATATTAAAGTCTGCCAACTTCAGACCACACAATGTTCACCATTCGCTAAATATAATATAGGAATATGTTTTATATTAAATATTTGACCAGAAGAAGTTGCCCTACATACCCTACATTTGGTTAACCCTTTCAGTGTCAAAAAAAATTTTGTAGGAATAAAAATCTAAAATTTTGTATTTAAAATCATATAAAGACACAGTGTTTATAAAAAAAAACAATTTTTATTTTAACCTTCGGATAGTTTAGTATCCCAAACAAAAACATCAATTGTAACGGTACATAGGATAACCGAAAGATCGCAAAGAAAGAGAGTAGTTTTAAATGTCGAATATATTCGACAAAAACACTGAAAGGGTTAAAATCAAATCGCTAGGACCTTCAACATATCGAAATTACGTTCTAGAAGATGTATGAAATCCTCAAAATACCGAATAGTGTGGTATCCGTTATAATACTAAAATGGGGACCGTGAATTCCGAGGGCTGTGAATTCCGAGTGGAACACCACACTTTATTTGACTGAAGTCTTCGCAGAAATTCGATTCGTCTAAACACAGATTGATATCGAAGCGTTCCAAAATCTTGCTTTAGAGCTGGAGATACTTGGGAGCTTTTTTGATGATAATATATTTATATATACAGTAGTCCTTATATGATATACATTTTTGTAAAGATTTCGTGTCACAATTTCATGAATTTAAATTAAGCCGATTCGTCTTGGCGTCAGTCAGTATCTTATAACGCAAATTATATATATATATATATATAGTTGATAGTTTTATAGCATTAAAAAAATTATCCCGCTGGCTACATTATTTTTTTATTTGTTGAATGTTTTTCATTCCATTACTCATGGCATCAAGTTTTTTTATCTGATCTGAAACATGAAACTGATTTACTACCGAGAAAAAAAAATAATAATTTCAAATTATCAATCAAATTTAATTAACCTAAGAGACATATGTATATAAATGTTTAAATCAATCACGCAATCCGTTATTTAATTTCAATTTTTTTCTATTATTTTCAGTACTTCCGATTAAAACTTCAATTGATTCCACAAAGGCAACTAATGGTAAACTCAAATCATTAGAGGAGGCCATAACATTTTCCGAGGCTTTAGAAAAGACTGGTAGGTTGTGGAATAAGATATTCCAATAAATATTACCGCTAAATAATAAAATTTGATTCCAATTTCAGGTTATGGAAAATTTAATTACTTAGTTATAATAATAGCGGGTCTAATATTGGCCAATGTGCTGCTGGAAACATCGGCTGTGGCTTTCTATATGCCCGTGGCACACTGTGACCTGGAGTTGACAAATTTCCGCAAAGGTCTACTGAGTGCCATCGGTTATGTGGGCATGATAATCAGTTCACATTTGTGGGGATTTTTGGCGGATACCAAGGGTCGTAAACGGGTCATAAAGCCCACTCTAATAGCGGGTTTTATCGTTACAGTAATCTCAAGTTTTGCCATGGAGTTTTGGACCATGTTAATTTTAAGGCTAATCAATGGTATATTGTAAGTGAAATTCAGAATATCTTCTATTTATTACATTATTATTCAAGATTCGTATTTTATTTTCAGTGTCTCTGGTGCCTCGGCCACTGTATATGCCTATATCAGTGAATTCCATGTTGATCGTACACGTTCAAAATCAATGATGATCTCATCGTTTATTTTCGCCATTGGTGCCATGCTTATGCCTGTGATATCGTTTGCCGTCATAAATCGTGAATGGCGTTTGCCAATACCGTTCTTGGGTCTGGTCTATAAGCCATGGCGTTTATTTGTAATTGTTTGCGGCATTCCTGGTCTGGTGTGTGGCCTGGCAATGTATTTCCTACCAGAAAGTCCGAAATTTCTGTTATCCATCAATAAGGAAGAAGAAACGAAAGAGGTGATACAACAAATGTACAGAATGAATGGTGGAAAAGAAAAATTGGTGGTAAGTAAGAAAAATCGGCTGATTTTTTATAATAGTTATTCAAGGACTATAAGAGGCATGGATTTTTTAGAGAATACTTTTTCGTGGACTATAAAAGGCGTGGATTTTTAAAAGGAATATTTTTCTTATTTTCAGATACCACATTTAATTTCCGAAGAAGACGCCAATGCGGGCATTGAAAGTAGTCAGAATAAAAAGTCCCATAATATCTTAAGCTTCTTACAAATGATGTGGAATCAAACGGCACCACTATTCCAAAAGAAATACTTACGATCTACGGCAATCGTGTGTACAACCCAATTTTGGTTATATGTCATTACCAATGGCCTGTACATGTGGTTTCCGTTCATTATCAATGCCATGGGTGAATTTATGAAAAATAATCCGGGGGGAAATGAGCTGCTTTGTAATATTGTCTACAATAAACATGCGCATATGGATGATACGGCTGATAATTCGGTAAGTTACAGAGATTGTTCAAAATTTTCAATAAAAAAATTAAATATTAATTTTGGGTTGTCCTTTACAGACCTTTGTTGCCTGTCCCGACAAGCTGGAGAACACCACCTATATGTATTCTCTGCTAATGGAAATCTTATATGTCTCAACATTTGCCGTGATAACTGTGATAATCAACCGCGTTAGCAAAAAATGTATAATGGTCATTATGATACTGTTCTGTACTTCGTGTGGTCTGGTAGCCATTTGGTTACCCTACACCTCGGTGTCGGCCATATTGTATGTTATAATGTTTGTGGTGGGAACATCCATAAATGTGTTGGGTGCCGCCACAGTGGATTTATATCCCACCCAATTAAGGTGAGCTGGAGCGATCAGTTTTCTTCTGAGTATTTAAATTTATTTCAATATTGTTTTTTACAGAGCCATGGCCATGTTAAAATCCACGAGTAGGTTAAAAACCTTCTCACTTAGATACTTAACTAAAATGAATGATCAGTGATATTTGGCCTCAATTTAATATTAGTTAGTTAATTTTTTTTACAAACTACTTACAAATATTATATATTTTTCATATCTATTAATTATATAAGGATTATAAAAAACAAGGCGTGGATTTATTAAAGATATATTTTTTCGTGGAAGGATTCAATAACAAGGCGTGGATTTATTAAAGAATATTTTTTCAAGGATTATAACAAGGCGTGGATTTATTAAAGAATATTTTTTCAAGGATTATAACAAGGCGTGGATTTATTAAAGAATATTTTTTCAAGGATTATAACAAGGCGTGGATTTATTAAAGAATATTTTTTCAAGGATTATAACAAGGCGTGGATTTATTAAAGAATATTTTTTCAAGGATTATTACAAGGCGTGGATTTATTAAAGAATATTTTTTCAAGGATTATTACAAGGCGTGGATTTATTAAAGAATATTTTTTCAAGGATTATTACAAGGCGTGGATTTATTAAAGAATATTTTTTCAAGGACCACAAAAGGCGTGGATTTATTAAAGAATATTTTTTCAAGGATTATAACAAGGCGTGGATTTATTAAAGAATATTTTTTCAAGGATTATAACAAGGCGTGGATTTATTAAAGAATATTTTTTCAAGGATTACACAAGGCGTGGATTTATTAAAGAATATTTTTTCAAGGATTACAACAAGGCGTGGATTTATTAAAGAATATTTTTTCAAGGATTATTACAAGGCGTGGATTTATTAAAGAATATTTTTTCAAGGATTATTACAAGGCGTGGATTTATTAAAGAATATTTTTTCAAGGATTAACAAGGCGTGGATTTATTAAAGAATATTTTTTCAAGGACCACAAGGCGTGGATTTATTAAAGAATATGTTACAGGGCCAACTGAGCAGACGGAGAATTATAAAAAAATATTTTTTCATGGATTATTACAAGGCGTGGATTTATTAAAGAATATTTTTTCAAGGATTATTACAAGGCGTGGATTTATTAAAGAATATTTTTTCAAGGATACGACTGACTATGTCGATGTCGGCGTATAAATTGTACAGTTCGTCGTGCATTCGACGCCGATAATTACCGTCGGAGAATTTTTCTTTCAAACACCCATGCTTCAGATCCATATAACAGCACGGGTAGTATCAGCGTCTTGTAAAGTGTGAGTTTGGTCTGTCGGGAGGAGGCCTTGTTTCTAAACTGCTTACTTAGACCATAGTAGCATCTGTTGGCGATCACAATCATTCTCCGAATTTTAAAACTGATGTCATTCGTTTTATTTATGGCTGTACCATGGTATATACAATTTTTAACTACCTCGATGCTGTGATTCTCAAGTTCCACAGTTGGTCCGAGTCTACTGGACGTCTTCCAGTAGACCATCAGCTTGGTCTTCGCGCCGTTTACTGCCAGACCCACTTTGGCAGACTCCCTCTCAATTTGTTCAATGGTGGCTGTTATCGCTCTCTCAATGTTCGACCCATTATGTCGATGTCATCGGCGCAGGCGAGTAACATGTGTTGTTTGGTATACAGAGTGCCATTTCTGTTTACCTTTGCGTCTCTTAACAGATCACACGGCAAACTGTCACCTTGTCTGAATCCTCGTTCGTTATTAAAGGGCTCCGATAGGTCTCTTCCGATTTTAACTACTGACCTTGTCCCATTTAAAGTTATCCTGCATATCCGTACTGATTTTGCAGGAATGCCGAACATAGACATGACTTTAAACACCTCTGAACGGATAGGGCTGTCGAATGCGGCTTTATAGTCGACGAAGTGTTTTGTGCCTATAGGCCTACCTCGCTGTGGCTGAGCCACAGGCGGATATGCACCCACCAACACCGAAGTGCTGTACCAATCGGAGAGCTTGCAGAAGGCATACTCTCCCCCTTGGTGAGGGGCGAAACCACAACCCCCGCGGTGGTATGTGCCGATGTGTTTTTCGGTTGTCCAGGATTTGGTGCGGAGTGAAAATCCGGTCAATGGTGGATTTGCCAGGTCTGAAGCCGCATTGGTATGGTCCACTAATGACATTGACCATTGACTTCAATGGGAAGAAGGCTAATTCCTCTATAGTTGGCACAGGATGCTGAGGTTCCAATCATTGGGCATGCATTCCTGTAGCCAAATTGTACTAATCAGCTGGTGCATGCTCCTTACCAGCATTTGACCACCAGTCGTGAGGAGTTCGACTTGTAACCCATCGGCAGCTGCTGCTTTATTATTCTTCAGCCGATTGATTGCTATTCTGACCTCATCTTGGCTAGATGGTATACACTCTATACAGTCATCTATTATCTGTCACTAGGTTTCCTGCCCGCACCAAAGCCTTCGGTTTGGTGTTTTTCTCGTTGGTAAAATTTTCGGACTTCATTCTGACTCCTGTACATTTCGATTTGCTCACGTTCACGTTTTTCTTGTTCTTTCTTCTTCTTTCTGAAAAAACGTTTCTCCTCTCTTCCTTCCTCCCGATAATTCTCCATCACATTACGTGTTGCTCTATACGCTGTGTTTTTTTAGATCAGTAGTATTACGACACTCCTGATAGTACCATGGATTTCTTGGTGGTGGTTTTTGGTACCCAAGAGTTGCAGTATGTAGGGAGTGGGCAATTCTTTGCCATTGTGCTTCTATGCTATTATCGGGACACTAAGTGCTTTCGTCAAGCAGGTGGGTAAGTTGAGCGGAATAGGCCTCGGCTACCTGTTGTGTTTGCAGCTTTTCGATGTCGAGTTTCCGTGTTGTGTTAGATCGCACCTTTGCTGCAACATTAAGACGAGTGCGAACCTTGGCTGCTACAAGGTACTGGTCCGAATCGATATTCGCTCCTCGGATCGATCGAACGTCTAATACACTGGATGAATGCCTTCCGTATATCACAACATAATCAATTTGATTTCTCGTTGCTTGATCGGGAGAAATCCAGGTGGCTGTGTGTATGTTGAGATGCTTGAATCTCGTGCTGCTAACTACCACGTGTTTTGCTGCCGGAAAGTCAATCAATCTTTGCTTTTTCATAGCAGGAGGGGTTTTCCGAGTGTGGGTAACTAACCCGACGCCTCAACCTTTTTTTCTATAGTTCTTATGGGTGAACTCGCGGCACATATTAGCTCACTATTTCAAAGGGTGATGGAAATAGCTACCCCAGGTGACACCACGGGAAGGTCAATGTCCACAATTGAGATGAAAGGGGACCAAGATAAGCCATGATTTCGCCCTGTTAAAGCCAATCAGAACCGTGCTTGGTATCTATCATCCCCTACGCCACCCAGCGTGGATTTATTAAAGAATATTTTTCAAGGACGAAAAAAGGCGTGGATTTATTAAAGAATATTTTTTTCAAGGACCAAAAAAGGCGTGGATATATTAAAGAATATTTTTTTCAAGGACCAAAAAAGGCGTGGATATATTAAAGAATATTTTTTTCAAGGACCAAAAAGGCGTGGATATATTAAAGAATATTTTTTTCAAGGACCAAAAAGGCGTGGATATATTAAAGAATATTTTTTTCAAGGACCAAAAAAGGCGTGGATATATTAAAGAATATAAAAAGGTGTGGATTTATTAAAGAATATTTTTTCGAGGACCAAAAAAGGTGTGGATTTATTAATTAATATTTTTTCAAGGACCAAAAAAAGGTGTGGATTTATTAAAGAATATTTTTTCAAGGACCAAAAAAGGTGTGGATTTTATTTTTGTCTTTCAAAATGGAATTTCCAATTGGGTATTTCATAAACTAGGAGAATTATTATATATTTAAGAGTATTCAACATGCAGATGAGAGTGTAAGCGTAAAAGTCGCACCTGAAGCGGTATTAGAGCACAACATATTGTATGATTCTCTCACTAACTTAGCAATACAAGGAAACTTGTAAAAAGTGGTGGCATATTCCCGTCAAGAAAAATGGTGCTAAAACCTTCAAAATATATTGGGCGGAAATTTATGTGTGGACCCTTTCAAAACATGGACCATGTCAAAATTGAACATGTTTTATCAGCACAGGAACCATGAATGCCAAGTTACAAACACTTCGGTTAGTAAATGCGTCTGAAGCCTTCAAAATATCGAAAATGGGAGGCTATGTAAAAAAAAACATGCCTTGCATTTTATTGTCAAGTGAGACCTCTTGCCATTGATAGTCTCCTCTTATTTGTTGTGTGAATGAATATGAGAACTGAGCAATACACATTTGATTTCTACTATTTTCTCCATATCTCTCCAACTCACATGTTTTACAATTTTATTCAGTTGTGAGAAAACAACCAGAGGTTTCATTAATGGCCAAGAATCAAATTAAAAATAAAAGTTGTTTGGCTGTGATACAGTTCGGTCAATTCAAAACAAAAAAAAAAACATTCCGCACGGCAAAATATACCGCAGGCAAACTATTTTCTACTTTGAAAGAAGAAATAAAATAAATAAAAATAAGTCCGCCAGCACAAAAAAGACGCAAAACCACAATGGCCCCAACCGGTAAACGAGAAAAGATTGGAATTGTCGGCAGGTAGGTGGAAAAGGTGGAGGTGTGGTTGTACTGACTACTGACTGGCACGTTTAGTGGCCGGTTTTGAGCTGACAACATGACCCAATTAATTATTTCCAAATACGATTGAATTTATTTGTATTTATTTCAAATATTATAGTGGCCTGATTGGACGCTCCTGGTCTATGTTATTCGCCTCTGTAGGCTATCAGGTAATGCTGTTTGACATTCAACCCGAACAGGTGGCCAATGCATTGAAAGAAACCCAAAAAGAATTGAACTCCTTGGAAGCCAAGGGTCTATTGCGTGGCAAACTAAAGGCCAGTGAACAATTTGCCTGCATTTCGGGCACCAACGACCTAAAGGAGTTGGTCAAAGGGGCGATTTTCATCCAGGAATGTATACCCGAACGTTTGGATATGAAACAAAATCTATATAAACAGTTGGATTCTGTCGTCGAAGACCATACGATTTTATCCAGTTCAACTTCGACATTTTTGCCATCGTTGTTCAGTAAAGATTTGAAACATCAATCAAATGTAAGTATGCATCGAATTTTTTTATTATTAAAATTCAGTTTGGAATTCAAAAGCAGAGTATTGTGAATACAGATATTTAGTGTATGACGAAGGCCAACTTGAATAATAAATTCTATTTTTTTTATTATTTCAATTGCCAATTAATTGATTCCGATAAATTTCAAGAGATTTGGCCAAAAAACAAACTTTGCTTTACAGCGATAATAATTTCAGAATAATTAAGTGTGTATGTGTGCCTGAAGCAATGTTGGTAGTTGGAGTATTTGACATATACGTTTTTGACAATGTTGGAAAATACGACTAATATACTCCTTGTTGGCTACCCGAAAAAATATTTTTAAAGCGTGGAGCATTATTGGCTACCCGATTTTTTTTTTTAAAATCCACGCCTTATTGGCTACCCAAAAAAAATATTTTTAAACCAGTAAGGAAAATAGAAAAGTCGTTCGGGGCCGACTATATGATACCCTTCACCTCTTTACATAAAATTGGGCGAACTATATATGAAAGCTATATCTAAATCTGAACCGATTGCAACAAAACTTCGCATATATCAAACTAAACCTAATTCAGTATCTGTGCAAAATGTTGTCTTCATCGGACAAATATTGGGAGTTTGACCTATATCTAAATCTGGACCGATTTCATCAATCTGGACATAATTCAGTACTCCGTGCAAAATTTTGTATCAATCGGACCAATATTGGGAATTTGGTGCATCATTTACATAAAATCGGACGAAACTATATATGGGAGCTATATCTAAATCTGAACCGATTTTCTCCAATTTCAATAGGGTTCGTCCTTGGGCCGAATAAGTGACATGTGCCCAATTTAATCAAAATCGGATCATAAATGCTACCTTTACTTTGTTAACAAAAATACATAGACGGACGGATTTTATCCTGCTATAAAAATATTTGTATACATATATGACATTTACACCTTTTTGACATCCCAAATGCCACCTTCATATCAATTGACCATCTCTTCTCTATGGCCTAACACAAGTCATGTATTTGGTAATTAGATATCGGACGACTTCATTAGCACCGCGAACAATTGCCAGAACACTAACCACCCCGCCAAGTGCTCAGCTGGCGCACAACAAACACACACACTTGTTATATTTATATACCGCTTATTGGTATAACAATAACCAACCATTGAATAATAAAGATAACAGCTGTTAATGTTTACCAACCAACGCCGAGAGATATGGTTCTGAATACCAGTTGATTTAGAAGTTATTCTAAGTACTTCGCAACTGCATTTATAATTTTGAGTGTAAATCAAAATAGCTTAAAATTGAAAACAAAACAAATGTTTTGTTCTAGTCAAGTAACCCACTATCTAATGTGAAATGTGTGAAATTATAGTGCCAAGGTGTAATATATAACTGACGTTATATTCGGTACCCTACCCTTCAGAACTTTGGGTATATATAAAAGGTTTTCTGATGGTTTATATTATAATTGATAACAAATCAGTAAGGTAGGGTCCAAAGTCGGCAGACTGGGCAAAGCACCGGACTTAGAAAATATAGTTATCCTAACTACATCAGAATAAAATAAAAAAATGGTTTCCGGACATACGAAACCGCTAAATCTTTAAAATTTGGGTGAGGACCACTCTTGGTCCAAAGGTGACAGTTATGGCTAGGTTTTTGGAATTTCGTGCCTCCAAAGTTTCTTTGGGATTTTTATATTGTACTAAGGCAATATTGGTATCAATTTAAAGCGTTTGAAGCCCTGATTACAAAAATATAATATTCTTTCCATACTCCATACTTTCATATGGTCTCCGAAATTCCGCGGTACCCTTCTTTAATTCTGAAAAAAATATGGGTATTTTGTGGGTAGCCGGCTTTCAGCTAGGGATTTATTTCGAATGCGAATCAAGGTTGTAGGGAAGTAAGGTCGATATAAAGAGGTCGTTTTGGAAGTGTGTACTCATGTATACGAAAACAGTACTAAATTTGGTACAATTAGAATTTGAAGGAACCGATGGACATGAAATCCGACATTTTACATTAAGATTAACGTCGGAATGTAGGATTGCGATATATAGGTAGTATTGGAAATTTGTACGAAAAGTACTAGTATCGTACTATAATTGGTACAATATGGTACCAAATGGTACCATACAGCTGGAATATTGACATTTGGAGTTAGGATCACTGTGGGAGGTACAATTGAGCTATTTAGTTCGTTTTGGAAATTCCTACTAATGTGCACTAAATTTGGTACAATTTAAATTTTGTGTGAAGTTTGGAAATTGGTACTAAGTGGTACCAAATGTGAGCCGAATGAGCTGGAATCTTGAAATTTGACGTTAGGAACACAGTTGGGTTGTAGGATTGGGCTTTGTAGAAAGTTTTGGAAATTCACACTAATGTGTACTAAATTTGGTACTACAATACAGCTGGAATCCTGAAATTTGGAGTTAGGAACACTGTTGAAATGTAGCATTGGATATGTATGTAGTTTTGAAAGTTCATACTTATGAGTACAATTTGAATTTTAAAATAACTGATAAAGCTTGGAACCTTAAATTTGGAGTTAGGATCATTGCTGGGTTGTACGATTGGACTTTGTAGAAATTTTTGAAAATTCATACTAATGTGTACTAAATGGTACCTAATTTGGATTTGTGTAAACCGATAGAACTGGAATCTTGAAATTTGAGGATGGTGTAGGATTGAGTTTTGTAGTAAGTTTTTGAAATTTGTACTAATGTGTATTAAATTTGGTACAATTTAAATTTTGGGTGAACCAATAGAGCTGGAATCCTGAAATTTGGAATTAAGATTACACTTGTGGTGCAGGATTGGGGCATGTAGAAAGTTTTATAATGTGTACTAAATGGTACAATTTGAATTTTGAGTGAACACATAGAGCTGGAAATAAGATTAGTGTTTATGTGTACAATTGGTGTATGGATGCAGTTTTGGAAATACCTATGGATACTAAGTGGTACTAAATTGTTATACACTTTGGATTCACTTGAACCGTTAGAGCTGGAATCCTGAAATTTTGAAATAAGATTACTGTTGAAGTGTAGGATTAAGGTATGTAGGAAGTTTAAGAATTTGGTACTTATGTATGCGTACTAAATGGTACCAAATTTGGTACTATTGGGAAAAATTAGGAAATATGATTTCTAATGAATTGCTGAGGCGTTTTCTTATGGAAATTTATATTAATATGTACTAAATGTGGACAAATTTGGATTTGGGTGAACCAATGAAGCTCAAATCATGAAAATTGGTAAAATTTAGTACAGAAGGTAATAAAATTCAGTATAAAGCTAGATTTCTGTTCTGTTGCGGTCAGAATTATTGTGTAGTGTTGAGATATGGAGGTAGTTTTGGAAATACGTACTATATAAGAGAACAAAGGTACTAAATTGTACTCAACTTTTAATTATGGTCGATATTAGAGTGTATGTTGATTAGCTCTTGTGACATATGCAGTTTTGTGCTAAGACATGATTAAATATTTTCCACATTCGCTAACCAAGTAGCGGTCATATGCTAGTATAATATTAACCCAATGGCGAATCATACTCTAACCATGGATCAATAGAACTAAATTCTTAAAATTGTGTTAGGTGGTGTTGAGACTACGGGATTGGGAATTTGCAAAATAAGTCTACAAACATTTTTTAATGGTGGTGCGTTCAATATAATTGGTATTGTATTACATATAGATAGTATGGTATTATAGATAGCCTTGCTGTCTATAAGTATACGAAAAAATAATAGAGCTTAAAACTTAAAAATCCCAAAAAATAACCGTGTTTTAAAAATAGAAAAACCTAGGCATATAAAATACATAGCATTGGACTATACAAAAATTAGATGTACCTTTCAAAAGCAGTCCCAAGTTCATAAATTTATTATTTTCCTTCATAGCAACGTATCACCTGGTGAAATCCCCAGTGATACGTTCGCCAAAACACCTTTATCTCTTAAATTAAAATCTCAGCTAAATTTTAATCAAATTAAGATTTGTTCAGTCACATTGATTGACATTCGTCTTTATGTTGTTTTTTTAATCTGGTTATTATTAAGGTCATACAGATAGTGTGCCGGTAAAATTGATAATTCTATGTAAACAATTCTTATCAATATTAACCTGACGTAACGTAAGATCGATGAGTACCACATCGACCAGCACAATTGATTATTTTTAATGGACGTACCGTCGTACCAATCAATAAACAATCACCGGCATCAGAAAATAAAACACTTGACGAATATACGGTCAAGATGTTTAAACATCAATAATGTTTGATTGTATCAAGAGTAAAACAAATGAAAATTATACAATTAAAAAATGTATATTAATTGTGGACATTAGAGGGATCTAGGAAAATATGTCATCATCAGTTGATATTCGATATCAAAACCAAATCCGTAGATAGCTCCTGAATGGTAAACGGGGTTGTTGTCGACCATAAAAACAAAATGCAAATAATTCTTCGACTACACTTGGTCGTGTCGATGGTCGGGTAGATTCGTCGTCTTCTCGTGAAGAGTTTTTACTGTAATATATCCTTTCACTGCGTATCATTTCGCAAATCGCACTGATGATACATATTTTACACCGAATGTCCTATTGTTTTATAGGTGGTCAACAAGGGTCGAATGTTCTCTCAGCCTTGGGTCTTCAGGGATCGTATGATCAACTCGTCACGTTCATTGGTCAATAACGTCGCCACTGTCGGAAAGTTTGGCATCACGTTGGGTATTCGTCCAGCAGGTATATATCGAGCGGCAACAGTAAAGAAAAAAATCCACTCATTTGCAGAAGGATTTGATGGGATGGCCTGCTCTCTGAAGAAACATTTCTGAAACCTATCCAATCTTCCCCATGGTTCGGGAAAGTAGTGCGTTGAAATGTGATGCGTAAGAGTAGCACCAGGCCTGACAATACCACCTTTCCATCATTGTATCGATTCATAGTACAATGATGGAAAGGTGGTATTGTCAGGCCTGGTGCCACTCTTACATCGTTAAATGAGTCAGGCATCCGATCGTTCTTCCTTCTAGACTTCGACAGTGACTTAACCATTGCACACAATTGTTCCGGTCACAATTTTCCATTGTTTACTTGACTTCAATAGTAAATTCTGACACTCTTAGATTTTTAGAGATCGCACGACAAATTCTCGTCACATAGCCACCTTTGGTGGAATGTTTGGTCTTACTTCGGTTATTCGGCGAAGTATTGACTACTTTGGGAAAATTCCTCTTACCTACTCCAAGATATTAGGGGATTTGGATGGACAGCTCTCTGAAGCTGTGATTTAAAAAAATCAGGAAAACACGACGTTCAGATGTTATAGAGTCGTGTGGTCTATTAACCAATCAGCTTTCTCATGGATCAAGACAGTACGACCTTCAGATTATGGAGTCGGGTGGTCTATTAACCAATCAGTTTTCTTATTGTTCAGGAAAGTACGACGTCGGCTCAGCCTTCTCATGGTTCAGGAAAGTAAGGCGTTCAGATGTTATGAAGTCGGAAGGTCTATTAACGGAGACTAAGATGGGGTGGAGGTATGAAAAACTAAGGGAAACGAAATTTTTACCAGGTTTCGTCATTTATGTGAATTGGTGCCGTCCTTATTCAAAATCAATCTACTCTTATCCTTGTGGGGTGTTCTTCATTCATCTTGCAAAATACTTATCTATCAATTTGCTCAGCTCGCAATGTACCCCTCTGGTCATTACCTAGGGCGCAATGTCATAACTTATGATAGTCATTGAAATCCCTTAGTATCGGGCGATTTTTACCTTGTAAGGGAAATAACGCCATGTACGTGGCAAATACATGTTGATATCTTGGGGTCGGCTTTTTTGTTTAAAAAAAAAAAAAAATCTGATAGCTCTATGCCACATCATTTCTTCCAACATATAAACGCAACAAGTGCAATAAAACATCCGACCTAGTAGGTTCAAAACATTTTTTATGAAAGCCATACACTCAAATATTTTTTTTTATTTTTTGATAAGATAACGACCTCAAACAAATAAAAATTTTAACCCTAATTTTATTCCCCTATTTTTCCTTATCATTATGCTGACAACAGGTGGTGGTATCACATCCTGTAAATCCACCCTATTATGTACCGCTGGTGGAAATTGTACCAGCCCCTTGGACCAAACCTGAAGTGGTAACGAAAACTAGATCACTGATGGAAGAGATTGGCCAGAAACCTGTCACATTGTCTCGTGAAATTGAAGGTTTTGCATTGAATCGCATTCAATATGCCATTCTGAATGAATGTTGGCGTTTAGTGGAGGCCGGGATTTTAAATGTTCGTGATGTCGACAGCGTTATGTCCGATGGTTTGGGTATGCGTTATGCCTTTTTGGGACCACTTGAAACGGCCCATCTTAATGCTGAGGGTATGCGTAACTATTATGAACGTTATACCAATACCATATATGCTGTAAGTCAGACCATGGGACCAACACCGAAGATGGAGGGACCAACAGCCGAAACCGGTAAGAGGGGAATTAATTTTTTAGTTCTTAATTTATTTTAATAAATTTATTTGTTTAATATTTGTTTTAGTTGCCGACCAATTGGAGGATATGGTGCCATTGGATAAATTGGTGGAACGCCGTCAATATCGTGATAATTGTTTAACACAATTGAGTATTTTAAAAAATAAATTGAATAAGTGATTTTTCTATATATATTTTCATATATATGAAAATATGTATATATATATATATAACAAAATGCATTTTGCATTAAATGAAATTTATAGATTTGTATAAACAATACATGTAATTATAGAGCATTAAATATATTTTTTAAAATTGATTATATATCATTGAAAAACTGGGCTAGGAACTTCGACGTACCCATGGTAGGGGCTATTAAAAATCATGGGTCGATAATAATAATTTTCTGAGAAGTTTTTCATGTTGCATGAAAATTTATAAAAAATACCTTTTAGAAACCCATGATGCCAAATTAAAGACACTTCGTTGCGAAAATTCAGGATGGTTATATGAACAAATTTCATTTGGAAAAAATGAAAAAGTGTTTTTTTAGATGATAATTTTCCGAATTGCAGAGACTTAGGTACCGATATCACGTCCAATATTTAACAATATTCGACGAATCTGTGATAAATTGGTAGGGTAAATTACCCTTTAAATCTCCTTGACCTGACGGTATAGGTCTTAACAATAATAATGGTGATTTTTAGATCTTCCTTAGGACTATCTTAGGCAAGCAGATGAGGCAGCTCATGGAGTGTTTGTGAGAAAAATTCTCCAGAAGATCTATGGACCGATCTGCGTTGACCGTGAATATCGCCGCCGAATCACCCATGAGCTATATCATCTATTCTCGGACATCGGAATTGTCAGACGTATCGAGCTGCAATGTACAAAAGACCACCCAAATTTTTTACCTCTGAACGACGTACATTCCTGAACCATGGGAAAGCGGACGAAAATATATATGGGAGCTATATTTAAATCTTAACCGATTTTCACGAATCTTAACACTCGTCGTTCTAGACTTAATTGAGTACGCTATGCCAAATTCCATCCAAATCGAAAATCATACAGGGACGTTTATGCGCCACTTACATTAAATCGGACGAAATTATATATGGGAGCTATATCTAAATCTGAAACGATTTTCACGAAACTTGACACACATCGTTCTAGACTTAATTCAGTACGCTATGCCAAATTTCGAGCAGATCGAAAGATATATAGGGTCTTTCGTACACCATTTACATTAAATCGGACGAAAAAATATATGGGAGCTATATCTAAATCTGAACCGATTTTTCCCATTTTCAATAGGGTTCGTCCTTGGGCTACATAAGTGAGCTGTGCCAAATTTCATTCAATTCGAATCAAAAATGCGACCTGCACTTTGTTTACAATTCAACATGGACGAACAGACAGACAGACGGACATGCATAAATCGACTCAGAAAGTTATTCTATGAATATACTCTCGTTTCCTTTTGCCTGATACAAACATATACACAACGTCATAATATCCTGTACCACAGGGTATAAAAATAAAATAAAAGAACGTTTTTGGAAGTTATCATCTTTTAATATATTCATTTTTTTTTATTTCAATGATTTTCATTTAAAATATATATTGAAGTTTTTCAAAAATGGACATTGAAAAAAAAATCGAAAAATAAAAACCAAATGTCAACAATACGTTTTTTATCTGAGATCTCAATGGAGAAAAAGTAATACGTGTTTTCTTTTTTGTTATTCTTTACAAACATAGTTATTAATATACGTATATAGAGAGAATTAATAAAATTTAACATTATTTTTTATTAAACTTTTGCATGTATAATTAGTTTTCTTATACAATAAAACAATAAATGATTTTTGTGGAATACAATAAGCTTTGTTTGGGTTTTTTTACTTAAAATTTATGTTTACTTTGCTGTTAATACGTTTATCAATTTGTTTTTTTATAAGATACTTATTCTTCTTCTACATACTTTTTGTTCTTGCTTAAAAGTTATTGTCATATTGGTTTTATGCATAAATTACGTGAATGTGTATTTCATTTGTTTTTAGATATATATGTATATGTACGTCAATTTATTATATTTTCATTTGAAATCGTCACCTAAAAACAATTGCTTCTTTGTTTGGTATGTTTAAATGTAGAATATTTGTTATGTATATTTTCTTCAATATTTGTTATCTCTTTTATCAGTTTCACAAAATCATATTTTCTTATTTTTTTTTATTCTAAATACAATAACAACTTTAATAACTTAGTAATCTAATGATGTATTAAGTACATTCAGTGTTTTATTAAGAACATGTATCCATCCTTTCTATCAAGAAAGTGTTTTTTGGAAATCAGAAAACACCTTTTTGACGAGCGTACTAGTAGTATACATATGTTTATATATATATATATAACTTCTTTGACTGAATGAATATATAACATATATATTTAACTTATTTTTGTTTTTTAATTTTTATTTTATAAGTAGCAATTTTGTTTTCATTTATTATATATATATATTCATGTATATAAGGATAAGTTTGACTAAAATTATACAGTATTCATATTTTTGTTTTCTCTTTTTTGTTAAAATACACATTTATATATATAAATAGAATATCTTGCATATTATAACAAAATGCAAAAAATGAATGAAAGAAACAAATGAAAATGTTACAAATCATAGCATAAAATTTAACTAACTTATAATACTATTGATTTTAAATGCGTTCATTTTATCTTTTAGTTGTTGGCACAGTGTTAGGCCAACCGTAAATAGTACTAGGACATCGTTGAGCCAACCAACCGAACATTCAGCCTGTGTTGCCTCCATTTTAACCGTGCCCTGGACATTGAGTAATTGATAAACAGCTATTATCAATTTATGGCATTGTAAGAAGAAGGATATTGCTTGATCTTCGGGTAAATTTGGCGTTAAGGATTTCTGAAATATAAGAACAGATATTTAACTTTTATTTATTTTTTTAAATCAAGTAAAGTAAGACGATGTGCGACCTATAGACAGAATGGTGTATGTCCTTCTCTATACATATACCGATTTTTTATTCAAACATTCTTCGCTGCGAAGATTTTCTCTACTTAGTTCTGAACGTTCGGTGGGAAGAGATTTTCGTCGCCTGAAGAAGTAATTGACAAAACATAGAATAGTTTTAAAACAAAGTACAAATGGAACTATAACCAGTAAGGAAAGTAGTAAAATCGGACTGGACCGACTATATGATACCCTTCACTACTTTGGATATATTCAACTGATGTATCCTGACAGGCGGTGTCGCTTTTTCCAAGGAATATTGACATGCAATTGAACTAACTTAAATATGTGATCTTCATTTATATGTGAACCGACTAACATCAAACATTACATAAAATCGGAAAAAATATATATAGAAGTTATATCTAAATCTGAACCGATTTTTACGAAACTTAGCACACACCATTCTAGACTCAATTCAGTACGCAATGGAAATCGAAAGATATATAGGGACTTTAATGCACCATTTACATTAAATCGGACGAAAATATATATGGGAGCTATATCAAAATCATAACCGATTTTCACGAAACTTAACATATATCAGTCTAGACTCAATTCAGTATGATATGCTAAATTTCGTGCAAATCCAAAGAAATATCGGGGATTTGGTGCACCATTAACATTAAATGGGACGAAAATATATATGGGAGCTATATCTAAATCTCAACCGATTTGCACGAAACTGATCACACATCATAAGAGACTCAATTCAGTACGCTATGCAAAATTTCGTACAAATCGAAAGATATATAGGCACTTTGGTGCAGCATTTACATTAAATCGGACGAAAATAGATGTGGGAGCTATATCTAAACCAGAAATGAGTTGTGCCAAATTTCATCTAATTCGGATCATAAATGCGACCTGTAAGACCAAACTTCCAATGAACGTGATGAGCGCTGTCGTAACACCCCCAAAGAGCTAAGGGTGCGAAATTTTTCCCTTGAAGTCAAAAGGCTAGAATGCGAGCACAAAAGGAAAAAGAGGATAGACCACCTGAGCCAATGAAACTTTGTCACCGGAACTAGTAAATTGAGGGCCACTCTCGAAACCTGGAAGAAAGGAAGGATGACAGGACGGTGTCACCGATTTCCACATACATTAGCTGAGGACTTAACAAGAACAGGTCGTGAAACCGAACAGTTATGGTGGCACTTGACCTATCGAAGGACTTCGATACCGTTAACCATGCCCCGTTGCACGAGGACGGAGAGAAGTCAAAACTATATATGTGTACGCCAGTCATATGTCCGGAATTAACTTCTGTTTAACCTCTACATTTCTGAAATTCACTGGACGGCATAGAGATCGTAATGCATGCGGGTGATTTTAGGATCATGGTGCCATTATTGATGACATTTACGAGAGGTTAAACCTCTATATAGCTGACCTTGTGAATTTCTTTCATCTGAAGAATATGAAAAAATATCCGCCACCAAATCAATATCCACACTGTTCACCACATGGATGGCTGGAATGAAGCTCCCGCTAAACATAATAGTCGATAGAGAACAGATTCTGACCACACACTGCCCCAAGATACTGGGTGTAAGATTCGATAGCCTTTTCAAGTCGTCGGCGCAAGCCACTGCCATATGTGATAAGCTAAGAAGTAGGAATAAGATATCCAATTCGCTAGCCGGCTGCACCCGTCCATCAACATAATCAAATGCAGTACCTAATTAGGTGTTATCGTCGTGAACACCCCTTTCATAGCCTTATGGACACGTCAGGAGAGATCTTTTCATTCTATAGAGAGAGAGAGAAGCCTGATATTCACTCAGATGCAATCCCTCAGGCAGTAGAACAATATCGGATAAGTGGAACCAATTTTTTTGTACAGGATGGTGGAACCGCCTCAGTTCCTATTCGGTAAGAATTGATGAGCTACAGGCCTTCTTATAGAAGAGGTAGAGGCCTTCTTATAAAAGATGTAGAGGTCTTTTTATAGATGATCTGGAGGTTTTTCTTATAGAAGATCTAAATGTCTTCTTATAGAAATGTCCTGCATGTGGACTAGGACCACACGACACGTTAAATCTCTTCTACTGCCCAGCTAAGCCGACTCACCTATTACCAAATTCCCTATGGACACAACCCATTGAAGTTGTAACATTTGTATACCTTTCACCACACTGTGGTACATGGTATTTTGTCTTTGTGCATATGTTTGTAACAGGCAAAAGGAATCGAGATAAACCCATATTTCTTTTTGAGAATAAGCATAGAATCATTTTCTGAGTCGTTTTACGCATGTCCGTCTTTCCGTCCATGTATTTTGGTGAACAAAGTACAGGTCGCATTTATTATCCGATTTGGATGAAATTTGGCACAGTTCACTTATTTGGCCCAAGGATGAACACTATTGAATTTGGGGGAAATCGGTTAAGATTTAGATATAGCTCCCATATATAGTTTAATTCGATTTTATGTAAATGAAGCACCAAACTCCCAATATTCGTACGATTGGGACAAAATTTTGCACAGCGCACTGAATCAGGTCCATACTTATGTATGCGAAGTTTTGTTGGAATTGACTCAGATTTAGATATAGCTCCCATATATAGTTTCGTCCGATTTTTTGTGAATGATACACCGAACTCCCAATATTTGTCCGATTGAGCTAAATTTTGCATAGCGAATGCAATTGAGGAAAAAATAATGTGTGATAAGGATTGTTGAAATCGGTTCAGATTTTGATATAGGTCTTATATATATTTTCGTTGGATTTTATGTAAATGGTGCTACGAAGGGCCTATGTTTATTCGATTAACACGAAATTTGGCACGGATATTAGCACATTTAATTTTTCCTGTTTCCGTCTCAATGGTCCTTTAAAGATTCTATGTGTGTTCTATCTACAGGATATTGTAGATATTAACATCTCTTGTTTGTACCCAGAGTGGTGAAGGGTATCATATAGTCGGCCTTGTCCGACTATTGTACTTTCTTTAGTGGTTGAATTTGGGGATAGAGGAACCAGAACCAAACAATATCATCCATTTTTTTGCTACAATAACAACATTGAGTGGTAACGTAAGTACTTCGATATTTGGATATAAAATTTTTGTTTGTAAGACTAAGGAAACTGATGGGGATCAGTGGCGAGATCCGAAACTATAATATTCCCTGCCTTATCCCTTGGTGGGCGCCAAAGCCATACTCCAAGGTATGTGGAGTAGGAGAAACATTACAAGGTTTTCTTTATTCCAAGTGTCGTCATTCCCTATAAATACTCGGACCGACATATAATTAAGGACAAAATATAAAAATATACTTACCATATTACGACCTTTCATCAAGTCATCAATGGATTTTTTCTTTGGTATAATAAGACTAGTACGTCCTCGTTGTAAGGCTCCAATTAATTCGCCAATAATTTGTAGAACTTCTTCGGAGGAACTAAAATAATTAATATGTATGTTTCTTTTTAATTCTCTTTTAGTAACTTATTTATTTTTTTTTCTGTTCACAACCACACATAAACTAATAAACACAAGTGCACTTATAAAATAAAATAAAACAAGATGTATACACACATGCCAAAAGCCGAACCGCAAGAAGCATTCATCAATTGTTATAAACAACAAAAAAAAAATCAACAATAACAACAAAAAATTAACAAATGATTGGAAAAACGCATAAGCAATTTCATTCACATAAATAAAGCAATAAATAATACACACATTAATTTTTATTTACAAGTGTAAATAAAAAAATTGTGTATTGTATATAATAATATTAATAGAATATGTATGTGTAAACACAAAAAAGAAAAGAAATTATAATATAATACAATATTGATTGAGATAGATATATGTATATCTGTGTATGAAGCAGTATGCAAATGAAAAATAGCAAAAAAGCAAATACACGAAAATGTTAAACAAATAAACTTTGTGTGATACAATTTAACGCCATTGGAAGTAAATTTTTTTATGTTTAAATCTAATCAATTTTGAATGGTATTAAGATTTTAACTAGCGCTAACAAGGTAGTAAAATCAATATTAAAAAAATTGGTCTATTAAAAAAAGGCATTTTCAAAAGTATAAACACCACTAATATTATTTTTTTTTAGCTCCGGAATAAGGAATGTAGAAACCCATAAAAAAATTAAAACAAATTATTGTTTTATATTTTTAGTAATGCAATAATTAACACTGCTCAGATATGGACCTTTGTTTTATTCGGTGTTTACTGTTTATTATAATTATTTCTACTGATTTAAATAAAGATCGCATGTTACACAATCCACCATGTAGATGCCCATAACAACAAATGATTGTTGTGGTTAAAATGACTAAAAGGTATTAAGTTATTAAAACCGACATGCCCACAATAATAATGATCACATTCGATACAATTAACTAATATGTCCATAAAAGGAAAATTCATTAGAAGTTGCTTTTTATACCCTTCACCACACTGTGGTAAAACAGGGTATTATGACTTTGTGCATATGTTTGTAACAGGCAAAAGGGAACGCTATAGACACATGGCTCCTTTTGAAAATATGCATAGAATCACTTTCTAAATCGGCTTATGCATGTCTGTCCATCTGTCTGTCCATGTTAAATTGTAAACAAAGTACAGGTTGCATTTTTGAGTCGAATTGGATGAAATTTGGCACAGCTCATTTATTTTGCCCAAAGACGAACCCTATTGAAATTGGGAAAAATCGGTTCAGATTTCAGATATAGCTCCCATATATATTTTCCTCCGATTTAAGGTAAATAGTGCACCAAAGTACCTACATATCTTTCGATTTGCACGAAATTTGGCTTGGCATGCTAAATTAAGTCTAGAGTGATGTGTGTTAAGTTTCGTGAAAATCGGTTCAGATTTCGATATAGCTTCCATATATATTTTGGTCCGATTTTATGTAAATGGTGCACAAAAGTCCCTTTATAACCTTCGATATGCACGGAATTTGGCATAGCGTACTGAATTGAATATAGAATGACGAGTTTCGGGAAAATCGGTTCAGATTTAGATATTGCTCCCATATATATTTTCGTCCTATCTTAGATAAATAGTGCACCAAAGTACCTATATATCCTTCGATTTGCACGAAATTTGGCATATCGTACTAAATAAAGTCTAGAGTGATGAAAATCGCTTCATATTAAGATATAGCTCCCATGTATATTTTCTTAATAAAATTAAATTTATCATAGGTTGCAGAAATACATGGGTATGTGTATTGGAGGGAACATTTACATGCAATTGTAAAGATACATATGTACAATATACCCAAAGTGGTGAAGGGTATCATATAGTCGGCAGGCATGTAAGGCATGTAGACCTGCTACCAAAGCTCGTTCACGCCCCGTTCTTGAGGTTATATCCAACGACAACCGTTTCACTAATTCCGTTGAACTCTTAAATGTGTATTTCTTACTGCTATGTTATTTTGCAGTCTTCCTCCGTGCTACTGATATATTTGCATAAAATCAACTATTCACTAGTAATCAGCTGTTTTGTCGGAGTACTCTATTTGTTTCTAGCCATTTGTATATTTTTTTGGCAGTAATTCAAAATTGAAAACCAGACACATGTTATTGTAATAAAATCCATTTAAAAATTATCTACAAGAATCGAAATAGGCGTATAAAACAAAACATAGTAATTATAACGGTAAAATGGGAGAGAGTGTTTCGATGCCTCCATATCATTTATATAACCCATTAATTTAAGGCTGTGAATATAAACAAAAAGTCAAAAATATTTTTCGTCGATTGGAGAGGAGCTGCAAGTTACATCGATTTTTCAATGAAAAATTAACTTCAATTGAAGTTGATGTTTTATGTGACAAATATTTACATAAGCAACCTTTAATATGCATCCACATTAAGTGGAAGTTTAATAGTTGCAAATATATATATATATATATTTAGTTTAAATTTCTCTTCACTTCTGGACGCGAAACAACAAACGATTGTATCACATATTTTGTATATTGGGAGTGTCACCGTCATTAGTAATCTGCTCCCAATATTAGTTATGGTGCGTACTTTTGTCAAAAAACCCTATTTTTGTCGGTTAAATTAATCGGAAAAAAATTAGTAGGAAAGACTGGGGCACATTCGGCATTCGCGTTTATAAAGCTCTCGCCGTACATCAGTAGCTTCGATACATAGGTGTCGAATATCAAAATAAATAACTGTCGCAAAGTTTGATATCTCTAGCAATGTTTTTGAGTTTGTCTTTAAAAATAATCTTTTAATATGGTTTGAAATTACATATATAAGACCAAACGTGGTTGCATTGCGATAGAAAAAAACTATTTCTGATGGCGTCTGTGACCTTGAGATGCCAACGTCCGACGCTAGTAAATATAACCTTAGAGGACCTGAATATCAACCACACTGATAGCGGTGATAATTACCAGGCTATGACTATGTTGCCGAATGTGCCCCATCAAATGCCGAAGCTACACCGGGTAGGGGCTAATTCGGCGAATATGACTTTTTTACAAAACTGTAAAAATGTTTAACTAATTCTAATTTATCATATGTTTTTGGTACTCGTTTTTATTTTTTATAATTTAGTATCAGAGGACAATAATCAGCCATAAAGTTTTTATATATGTTGAATAAGTACAGAGATATAGAGCTCTAAACAAAAAGTGTCATGAATATTAGGTTGATAAGACGACTTTTATAAATTAAAATTATGTTTCAAAAGAAAATAATGCAAATAATGCGATACACAGTGTGGAAAACTACCAATTATATACAAGTTATATGCGAATATGAAAAAATATATATATTATCCAAAGCACCCTCTTTTCCATTTAGCTTAAATATTTTATTTTATGGTATTTTCAAAAATATACATGCAGTGCCCATATTAAATTAATAAACAAATTTTGTGGACTTACCGAAATTTATAATTTTCATCGACATTGTCAATATGATTAATGGCCTGTTGTAAATGATTGGCAGCATCTTGTACTTGTTGTAATTTCCAGGGAGCTTCAGATGTTATTGCAGTTCGTTGGATTTGGGATGAGGAACGTTTTAATTTAAAACTAATTTCCTACAAAAAAACGAAACCAAAAAAAAAAAAACATTAGTAAATATTTCAAATTTGGATAAAACATCACTTTTTAACTTAAGGTGTTGTAGCCAGACACACATTTTAAAATGGACAGATTAAAAAAATAGAGACATTCCGAAAAAAATTGACTAAGATGTGATGTTCAAAGGTATGAAACTCTTGTGTTGTTTATTACCCACTGTAGCTCGAAAACGGATAATTAGATCTTCATATGTTTTTATAGGAGTACTGAGTTTTTATAGCATTAAGCGAGAGACTTTTAAAACTGTATCTAAAAATGTATGGCTTTAAAATCGAAAATTTTGACATTGACAGTTCGCCAGACAAATCAATTTTGTTTAAGGAGAACATTATTAGATTCTTAATGATCGCACAAAATAAAAATAGGCAGTGACATCTATTCCTTTCGAGCTAAAATGGGTACGGCCAATTTTACATTCGCCAAAATCCTGCTGTACATATTAATTACTTTACTGTCCGAAGAAATAAGGACAATCGAGGAGTGGAGTGAGAAGGACGAAATGATATACAACAAGTGAAAAAAACGATATGTACGGCTGGGCCGAACTTTGGATACGCTCCAGCATAGGTATACTCACAGGTACTTGAAATGAAAATATAGAAAATATACCAAACTGATTTATGTAAACCATAATGTACACCAAATACAAATGTCAAAAATTTTTAATGAAGATTTTTCCTAAAAACACCAAAAAAAAAATGGACCGATATTGTCGGCACATGGTAGGGTGGAACATCCCCAAAATGCTGCAATTTAGAGGGCACAGTTACATGAGGCCATCAATAACGTACCCAGGTTTCACTTCGGGGGTTGGGTGGAAACTGCTGATTCGTGCCAATCTGGCAACCATCACATAACCATTTACATAAAATCGGACGAAAATATTAATGAAAGCTATATCTAAACCGATTTCAAAGAAACTTGTCACAGATTAGTTTATACTAATTTCAGCACGTTTTTGGGTGCTTAATGTATCATTTACTTAAAATCGGAGGAAAATATATATAGGAACTATATCTAAATCTGACACGATATGAAAGAAACTTGCCACACATTAGGCTATACTATCTTCAGTACGTTGTGTAAAATTGTATTTTTATTTAGAATCGGACAAAAATATATATAAGAACCATATCGAAATCTAAACCGATTGCAAGGAACTTGTCACAGGTTAGTTTATACGAATTTCAGTACGTTTTGTGCCTATTGGTAATATTTTGGGTCCTTTGTGCATCACTTACGTAAAATCGGAGAATAGTATACATAGAAGCTATATCCAAATCTGAACCGATTTTCACGAAACTTAGCACACATCATTCTAGACTGAATTCAGTACGGTATGCCCAATTTCGTGCAAATCGAAAGATATATAGGGTAAAATCGGAAGAGAATATATAAGGGAGCTATATTTAAATCCGAACCGATTTTCAAGAAACTTAGCACACATCATTCTAGACTCAATTCAGTACGGTATGCAACATTTCCTGCAAATCGAAAGATATATAGGGACTTTGGTGCACCATTTACATAAAATCGGACGAAAATATATATGGGAGCATATCTAAATCTAATAATTTTTGGGAGGGAGATTTTTTACAACTACAAAAAACTAAATTACAGATGATTCGGTTGAAAAACTACCAGAAAAGTGGACCTATATTTATCATTTTTATTGGATACATTTCATACCCAATAAGAACCCAATGTACCAAGTTTAAGCGAATTTGGTTGAACAACGCCGAAACGCCCCAAAATGCCGAAAATTGAGGTGTAGGCTATATCCGAAAAATTTGCATATTTTTATAATATTTTTGTGGAGAGATTTGATATATATAAAGAACTCAAAATACTAAATTACATCCTAATTGGTCGAAAAATGCGGTCTAAAGGCCCCAAAATTGGGGGACCTCTTATATGGGGGCTACCAGAAGAAACGGACTAATATTTGTAATTTTAAATGAAAAAGTTTGATATCCAATAAGAAACCACTGTACCAATATTCAGCGAATTTGATTGAAAATGCGCTCAACAACACCAAAATACCGAAAATTGGGGGGTACCACCCAAAAAATGGACATATTTTAATAATTTTTTTGTGGGGAGATTTGGTATCTATTCAAATCTCAAAGTACTAAATTACATCCTATTCGGTCGGAAAATACGGTCAAAACCACCCAAAAACTGAAAATTCGGTACCGGGCTACCAGAAAAAGTGAACCTACATTTTGAATTTTTTGTAAAGATATTTCATCATCCAACTTAACTTACCTTCAGACAACAACAGACTCTATGCAAAATTTTGGCGATTGACCTAAATTCGTTTAGCGGCTAGAGTTATTACAATAGACAGACGGACAAGCTTAGATCGTCATAGAATTTTACGCTGATCAAGATTATTATTTTATTATTATTATTATTTCAAAGCCAAGCCAAAAAGCCTTATATGGCCAGTATACTACAAAATAAACTTAGACCAAATTAAAAATATAAATTTTAAACACTAGTATTTCTTTTCATGTTACATTTGTTCAAGCTCCATAATTATTCATTAAAAGTAATAGATAAAAATCATTTGAATAAGAACTACTCTGAATTGACTTACAAAAACATTAAAGTAAAATATTAAGTAATTACAGAAATTTATCTTCAGTATTCAACTACTCAAAAATTTTGATGATTTACAAACGGAAAAAGAACATTTATATACCCTCCATACTATGGTGGAGGGTATAAAAATATTATTTCTTCGATGTGATTAAAGACATGTCAAAAATGACTAGCAATTAAAGCTTTTTCCAGCAAAAAAAATTATCACGCCATAACTCGAAAACTGGACCTGTGACAAATTTGACCTCCTGTTTCATATACTCGCCGAAGGCTTTCAATCTCAAAAAAATCTTTAATTTGCCATCCCTCTGGCTAAATTATCTGTAATGGTCTTAAAATTGACATTAATTACACACTCTAATAACTAGGACTTTTTTAAAAACCTACACATAATAAATTCTTAAAAATATAATTAAGTTAACCTCCATGCTATTTATACATAGTAAGGTAATTGAAGACAATTTGCCAATTTTTTTTCTTCAAAATTAGTTCATATAATATTTACCGCTTGTGTAATGCTATCCCCGGTTAGTGTAAGAGAACATTTTAGTTGATCCTGTGCGGCAACTAAATGAAATTTTTCAGTACGTTTGCCCTCATTATCGTACAATGGGACTGGAAAGCGGCGGGCACATTCCTAAAAAGAAAACAAACAAAAAATGTACAAAAATTGTAAAAAAATGAAATGAATACCAATGCAGGTGGATAGGAATGTTGGTTGTGGGACAAATTATTCGGGGTGGTTGTGGGTGCAGTAGTGTTCAAAATGTATGTCAATATCGAATGGTAATAAGAAGAAAGAACACACAGGGGTTGATTTGATAAAACAAACTACTTGAAGTACTTGAGTATTTTACTTACCACTAGAATTTCTCGTAGCTTCTTTAAAATCGCATGAACCTCATCCCTCATAACCCATTCAAATTCAATTTGCTGAAAGTAATATAAAAAAATTAATTTAATATCAAATCTGTTTGTTGTTGGTTTTTTTTCTTGGCATATAAATCTTTCAATTGGCTTTTTGTGTTTAAAATATAAACAAATATAATTCAAAAAACGAAAAAAATTGATTTGAAACTATTTGAAACACTTTTGTGTGTGTTGTTTTCATTTTTATTTTTTGGATAATCTTTGTTATAGATCCCCTACACTGTGGAGGAAAATGTGTTCGGTATATTATGGTGTGTGTTATGGGCACATTTAAATGTAAAGTTTGATTTTTTTGTAATTAATTATTGTGTACAACAAGCAGCGGGAAACCGCACATTTCCACAGAAAAGATGTTTGTCTCCCACTAATGACCCTGATAGATGTTTCGAAACTGTAGGTTATGAAACAAATCAATAACATAAAATCAATACAATCAAACCCATCTCAGGATAATTTTGAACATTTAGCATAAGGTTTCTGATTTGGTTCTGCTTTGTAGGTTTCTATGTCTAATAACATTCTATTTGATCAAGATATTGCCTCAGAACATACAATGTTGGGAAGGTTTTATTTCCACATCGGAAGAAGTGGTGCTCATCATTTCGAACCTGGGGCAGAGAATGTCCATGAATTATTATTTAGAATCATCCCAATTCTCAAGTGCGGCTGTTTGTTGCGGTTTATGGTCCCACGGGTCATTACTTGAGGCGGAGGCTATCGAGGGCATAATACAGCCACTTACCGATTTAGATATGTAAATTTCATAGTGTTATTATGAACAAACAATAAGAATTCGGAGGGCGGCTACAAATTCGATCAACACATCTTGAGTGATGGGACCAATTTCCACCTCGTTGGTTACAAAAAAAAAGTCGCATGTATATGTCGGAAAACCGAATGTTTACTAATCATAAGCCTATCTATTTGTTTATTGGCGGTTTATTGTCCGGCGCTGCCATTGGAACTTACTTTTTCGAAAATGAGGTTGGATAAACGATATAGAGAGCCTTTAGTGATTTATGGTCGAAGTTGAGTGTCATAGATCTGGAAATTCTAACAAGCAACGAAACCTTTGCTCTTTTACAGGAATAGTTTCCGGACCGTGAAGTAAATGGGAATGAAATAGCGCATGAACTTGCTCCAAAGGGCTCACAGTTGTACGATCTGCAGATTGAGGAAACTGTAAGACCATCTGAAGGCTATTATATTGGCGAAATCTGTAAGATCTACTACCAGACTTCTGTCGTCTAGAACGTCATTTTCCTTTTTCTAACTTTATATCCTCAGTCTGAAGGCACGTTGATACGGCATCATCGAAGTATTGGTTTTAGACCCACGTTTGTTTTGACCAAATCCAAATTTCAAACAATTTGGAGTCGATTTACAAATGTCCTTCCGACTGTCTGCCTGGAGTGCATGATAGCTCTTGAGGGGAATAACCGATTTCATACAAACTTTGCACATGATAACATTTCTTCCAAACTTAAATCAAGTTTTAAGTTAGGGAATATCGGTTCACTCCTTCTGGTACCTCCCTCACAAGCCTAGTCATACGCTACCGAATGACTATAGACCGATTAGCCTCTCTTCCTTTCTACTCAAGACTTTAGAAAGGTTACTAGACTCAGAAATTGCCTACATCAAAGGCAAGTCAGTGGATACAGCCTTACATGTGGTGATTGGAAGTATCGAAAAGAATATGGAGTCCTCCGGCTACACTTTGGCTGCGTTCCTCGATATTCAAGGAGCCTTCTGCAATGTGAAGCTAGAGGCTATCCATTCTGCTCTTGTAATCTCAGGACCAAATTTCAGGCTGCTAGATGTGCCTGAGAAACGGATGGCTTTAAGTCGCTGAACTTTCCCTTTTCTTTTCAGTTATCAAAGATGATCACAATGGACAATTGTCTCTGAGTGAACGGTCACACCACAAAGGGTCAAAATTTGCAATATTTATAAATCCATATATTAAGCGAATGGAATGACCGATTTGCAATCACAGATCAAGTCCGAAGATGGTACCCTCCATCGGTCCACTCCTTCAAGTATCTCCCCCGCAGTTACAATATTTTAAAATGTTTCTAATTCAATATCAAAAGAAGAGAATGCTACCTGCCCTACAAAGTGTCAAAATTTTCAAAATTTGTTAATTCAATACCAAGAGAATGCAATGTCCGAGTTGATCCAAACTTTGCACATCATAAAACCTTTACCGTTTCTAGAACAAATCCAAAGATGGGACCCATCGCCCACACCTTCTGATACCTCCCCCACAAGGTGTCAAAATTTTGATATTGTTGTTGAATTTGTTAAACGAATGGAATGTCCGTTTGAATTCAATCTTTACAAATCGTAATATTTTTACTAAACCAAGATCACCTTCGAAAATGGAACCCATCGATCCACTTCTTCTGGTACATGCCCCCACAAACATTCAAACATACTTTTCTCAAGAGCAACCTCTTTTGGTAGCATTAACAAATATGCTCAAATATGTGTTAAAACTATATAGCTTATAGGTATAAGTCGAATAATAAAACCAGGGTGACCACAATGGACCAAGGTCATCGTAAATGTCTGCCACTTTTTTTAATTGCTTCTTGTAAAATCAGCTCATAAATAACTTGCGGCTGAACATCCTTCAACACATGTTATATCTTGAAGAGGTAATAATAATTGGCCGCCGATCGATATTGAGGACATACGTCAGCCCCTTTAACACATGTTAAAATTTATAGCCCGATAGCAAAATGTATGGCCCTGTTTGCAACTATATATTTGTCTTGTCGAAATCTGTACTTCCTGAGATAAGGTATTCCATAATTTTGAAGCTATAGAAGTTCTGATACAACAATTTATTTGCGGAATTTGGCAAGGGCAAGATTTAAAAAGTTCTTGTCTCGGAGGTTTCAGAAGTAGTGAGGCAATCGGACACGCTCTAGGTTGAGTGAAAAAAATAGGGTGCCAGGCAAAAATCGGGACAAATTGTGGGGAATACCCAGGAGTAAACCGGAAACAACTCTAGTTTAGTAAAGACGACCAGATTTTTCTGAATTTTTTTCCAGAGGAAGGTATTTTTACTCTAATTATGGGGATATTTTTTTCTTGGGGGACATACCCAGTTACCCAGTTATTTGACACGGAAGTTCGGGTGAGATTACCCGGTTATACGTGTTCTACGGATCCGAAGAAACTATTCTATTTAACAAGAGATTCTGTCGCGGAGATTTTCAATAAAATCGGGATCAAAACCCAGTTTTTTGACTGTATCTCCAAACCCCATCAACGGAAAGGTATTATTACAACCTTTAAAATGATACCCATTTTATATTAATCCCGGCCGAAGGAGATGCTGTCATGTATAGGGTTCTAAGGCCAATATCTTTTGATCCACAACGGATACAGCGCATATCGCACCATTTTGGAAAAAAATATTCTGTCATTTTATTGGAGAGGTAAAAGTACCTACCACTGGAAATTTTATAAAAATGGGATCCAAAAACTGTATTTCCAAACCCCATCATTGAAAGGTATTATTACAACCTTTAACATTTTTCTGAAAATTTTTTCAGAGGTAGGTATTTTTACCCTAATACAGGGCATATCTTTTTTTCTTTGGGGACATACCCGGCTACCCGGTTATCCACAACAGATACAGTCACATATCGCACCATTTTGGAAAGGACAAATTGTTGTCTATCATTTGAGTCAGGATGAAAAGGGGCTATAATGGACTTTTAGGGAGTTTTTCAAAAAAAATCGGGGACCACAACCCAGTTTTCTGACTATATATCCAAAACGGTTTGAGATAACCCCATATTAACCATACGTCCTGGTACGTCACCCAGAAAAATACGCCCCCCAAAAAATTAGATCGTTTTTACTAAACTAGAGTCAAGCCGTGAACCGTTTGGAACAAGTCGGATTATCCGTTTCCATTACACTGTACAATTATTTTTTGTACTTTCAGAATTCCGTCTCCATAGGAGAGTCATCTTGCAACCCCCACTTCCCCAAAATCAAATAAATTCCATGTAATTTTCACTGATTTCATAATTCCAAATTGTGCGTAGGATGTAATAGATTCGTCTTAGCTGGTTGGTTGGATTTTTTCTATCATAACTTTGGTTTGTTTAGTATTAGTAAGTGGTGCACACAGACACATATACACACAACATCAACTTGTGCATGATTTTTTCCTGCCTGCTCTTCTGTGCTGCTTATGAACAGAAAAAAGCAAAGCAAAAATTATTGATTTTTGCAAAAATTTTATTATTTTCTTAACTTTTTTTGTGTAATTCAAGTCTAAACGATAACTTGGAAATTGGTAAAATTAATTTAATTACAAATTTTCTTTCATCATTTTTGATTATTTAATTTCGTACATCCTCAATTTTCATTGGCTTGGGCTTTTTTTTTGGAACACTTACTAAATTTTTCACTTCTTCACTTTCTATGTCTTCCATCATCATTATCACTGATTTCTTATTATTAATTATTCAATTTTGCAACAGCACAACTATTTAATTAATCTATTTTATAAACTTTTTAATAAATTATTAATATATATTTTTTAAGAATTTTATTTCGAACAAAACATCAAAGAATTCACGGAAAAACTGTGTGAGTACGATTAGCTCTCATTAGCAGACTCTCTTTTGTACTGACGGATTGCAATGGAATCCTGCACAGAGAACAAAGTTTAACGAATGTGCTTTTTAACGGCGTAAATATGGCAATGAAGTGTTTCAAAAGACTTTGGGGTGTTAAATGGGGGGGCTATTGGGAATAACGGTAATATTAATATTCGATTTAAAAAAGAACTAAATTATATTTGGAAATATAAAGAAATATATTGACAAATGAACAGTGGTGGTCTCAAAATTAGCTGCTCATTACTTGTATATAAAAGTTGTAAATATTAAAAAATTTTAATAGAGAAATTCTTTTATAAAAAAAAACAGTAAAGAAAGTAGTAAAATCGGACTGGGCCGACTATATGATACCCTTCACCACATTGGGTATATTCTACATAGTCATGAAATTGAACGAAGGATATATAAGAACTTTGGTGTACCATTTACCTTAAATCGGACGGAATTGTATATGGGAGCTATGTATATCTAAATCTGAACCGAATTTCACGAAACTTAACACACATTATTCCAGACTTAATTCAATACGCTGTGCCAAATTTCGTGGAAATCGAAAGATATTTATGGACTTTGGCGCACCATTTACCTTAAATCGGACGAAAATATATATGGGAGCTATATCTAAATCTGAACCGATTTTCACCAAACATAACACAAATTTCGTGCATATCGAAAGATATATAGAGACTTTAAATCGGACGAAAATGAAAATGAGCTATATCTAAATCTGAACCGATATTCACGAAACTTTAAACACATCATTCCAGACTATAGCCGGACCTATTAGAAAGTCTTTATAGCTATCTTCAAAATCAGCCAAAACATGTTCAGATGGTGTCAACTAATTAGAGAGTAGCCATCATTATCAAATCTGACCTCTATTGGCAGCGGCATCTTTATATAAGGCCTATGCCAGTAGATTGCACTCAGAATTCTTCAAAACATGGACACAGCTGACAATTTTCAGGAAGTTTTTATAATCTAAGAGAAATTGGAAGACTCTAACAGAAGTTGTACGATTAAATCTTCCTGAACTCCTATGGCAATGAAGAAGGTGAACTAGACGTAGGTACAGCAACCAGGTGCAAAAGAAAACGTACCCTTCGTCTTTCATGTACCGTCAGTGGCGAAAAAGGATTGTGGGAAGACCACCATCGTGAAGGCGAAATTTTTACATATTGACAAGTCTTCACAACAACCTTTAAAATCTCATCAAGATGGTCTCAGATAAATAGATAATAACAGTTAATCTGATGCCTATGGGAGGCAATACCTCTATATAGGGTCTATGTCAGTCGGCTGCATAAGGGCGACTTCAGAACATGGACCTAATGGAATGTTCTCTGTCAGGACGTTTTTTTTAATCTATGAGAAACCGGTATTTCAATCCTATATAGGATATTGAAATCTATCTATAATAATTTCATTCCACTAGTTTCATTTTCATATCAATTTTATTGTAATACTGGTAAAAAAATAATGTAACTCGTATCAAAATATGTTTAAAAATAATTATGAAATTAACAAAAAGAACGGCAATCACCAAAATCAACAGAATTTAAGTACAGACAAAAAATATAAAGACAAAAACATATTTGGAATTATGGATGTTTATTTTCCTTGTTACGGGATAATGAAGTGGAGCCGGCCGTGGATGCCCTGGAAGTCAATCGACCAGTCTAAGGAAAAAAAACAAGTTAACAAAAATGTTGTAAACAAAATTCAATTACACATACCGGCTTAACTGTGGCAGTATTGCTTGCTGTTTTTAAACCTGTTTTCGAACTTAGTCTGGAACTGGAGGATGTTGAAAGCCGTGATGATGATGATGTGGACAAACGTGACGATGTGCTTGAAGTCCTGCCACTTGTGCCTGACGAACCAGCAGTGGTATTTAATCTCGATTTTAATGGTGATTTAGCTTTAAACTCTGATATGGTACGTCTTTTTAGGTTTGATGTTGTAGCCGTCGTCGACGACGTAGCAGTTGTTTTAGCATTCGGAGTGGCAGAGAGATAAGAATATCTTGGTTTTTGCAATGTTCCACCAGTAGAACGTTTCATGGGTGATGTAAATAGAGAGGGTGTTGAACATGCATTGGGATAACCAGCCGCCACACCCAATGCCGATGAACGTCCACTTGCCATGGGTGTGGTGGGAATTTTCAATTTCAAACGCGAATTATTATGGCCATCATCGGACATATTACCTCCATTGTCTGGTGTTGGGGGTGATGTTTTCAGCATTGGTGCCACCTTCTTAACGGGTATGGTAGCTTTCAGGGGTCCTGATGATTTCATAATAGATTCGGTAGTTTGAGATTTATTTTTCTTCTTAAGATCTGGTTTAAACGATTGAAGATTATTTGTGGGTGGCATTGGTCGGACAATGGCCTTTTGTTGTTGTCCCTCAATGTGGGTGTCCAATGTTTGGCTGCAAATTAAATTTTTTTTAAAATTGTATTCGAAAGAATTTCTTTTTAAGATTTTTATATTCTCTTGAGTTTTAACTTACCCAACACCAGTCCTCCTCATACCCACAGTGGCCGTGTATGGTGTACCACTCGAATAGGAATTACGGCGTACCATGCGTCCAGGTGTTTTAAATTCTGGTGTCTTAAATTCCTCGGATTCCGCCGCCGCCACCTCCTTTGGTGGTGGTGTGGTTGTCACTGGCGGAGAATCATCCATGATGCTGTGCTGTCTCTGTAATCCCTTGGGGGTCGGTGGATGTACAATTTGTACTATTTTCACTTTATCGTGCAGCGACAGTGATTGCGACCTTCTACGATGAGGATTGGACGGTGCTCCAGAAATATTTATTTCAGGCGAATCATCGAGCGATGAACGTTCCATATAACTGGATGTCATGGCGGCTTTTTGTTTTGCCGACACCGTCCCACCACCACATATTGAGTTATTGTGATGGCTGTTTGCAGCAGGCATAACCACAATAAAAGTAGGATTTGGTTGACTGCCCTGCTGGCCATCTCCAGAATTGTTATGGATAAGGAGTTTACTCAACTGTTCGACGATATCGTTGACATCATGTTGCAATGTAGTTTCACCACCACCATCGCCATCTGAATATTGTGGTGAAGGTGGATCAATTTCAGGAAGATTCAAATCTTGTTTATCTTCTGCACTTTCACCATCATAGGTGGCCGATGAACTAACCATGCAATTGGGCATTTCGGAAACCAGTGGTTGATTGGCCAGTTCATCGCCAGCGGAATTCTCTTGTAAATCCAGATCGAATGTACCCTGTCGCTTCATCGGTTGTGGTTCTGGAACAGTAAGACTGTGTTTTTCTTGCATTACCTGACTCTCCAAAGTCTGTGACGTGGTCAAGGCACTGCTCAGCGACTCCAATAGAGATGATGCCTGCATTTGCTTGCCATTTGCTACCAAATCGCCGCTGTTCAACAATGTCTTTAAATCGCAAATAAGTGAATTTATTTCCTGATTATTGTTGTTTGTCTCCTCCTCACGTTTGGATTTCAACTTTGATTTAATGGCCTCCAAATCAAGACGTGGTGATGATTTTGTGGCGGCATTATTTTTAATTGAAACATCGTTATTTTTCTCCTCTCTGGGCGGTGTCACATTATGTGTCACCGGGGATTCCAATTCACTCAACATTGGAATTTTCAACATTTCCAAATCGGCCTCGAAGTTTTTATCAGCATCTATCAAAGCCGGTGGCTCTTCGGCCATAATATCGTCATCGACAAATTTTAATGGGGATTCAGCAGCCAATGAATATTCACACAAATATGGAGTTTTATTGAGACCCGATGACACCGGCGTGCCCATTCCATCCCCAAACTCATCCACCGAATTCCTTCGAGCAATGGGCGAATTAAATGCCGCATTGGTTACACTTAATTTCAATAACCGCTTTCGATATTCCATTGCTTTTTTCTGCTTAGCTGCCGATGACATTTCAGCACTATCACCAGGTGTGGAATCCGTATCGGTGCCCGATTGAAATTTATCCAACATTGTAACAGGCGGACTTTCTAATTCCAAATCAAATTCCTTCAACTTACTACCCACCGTGGCTTCCTCGGATTCAGCAGTACCACATTCCAATAGATTTTCATTGCTTAAACACAAGAGGTTGCCCAGTTTAACCTCCACCGATGGCGTTTTTGTGCAAAGCCTAGCCTTAAGGCAGGCCTCTCGTTCCACAATATCAAACGGATCATTCTGGCAATCGGCCAATTTTTCCACAATATCAAATGGATTATTGTCGAGGCTAGTACGTTTATCTGCATGTGGCGGGGAAACAAAATGCAGCAGTGTCGAAAGATTCTCATTTGTAGCGGACGGAGATATTTCATTTTTATTGTCAGTCTTCTCAGAGGGAGTATTTTCTTCCAAGCTTAAATCTATTAAATTAGCACAGTCAATATCACACATTTTATAGTTGTCCGTTTAGTTAGAAATAAATAGTCTTATTTTATAGAAATTAGTTAAATTGTTTCTTCACAAAAAAGTCTTTAGTTTAAGACATTTGTATAGAAACTTCTTCGATTGTCGTCCTTCGAGTATTTGTTGTTATTTAGTTAAGCGGTACTTTCAAATTTTTACCTGAGAATAGTGGTTTGATTACCTGTCATTCAAATAGGGGGAAGAGACCGAAAAAGTAATGCCACAGCGGCAACGGAATGTGGAATAAAGTGATACCATATTGTGAACGGTTTTGTAAACGATGGGCAACACCGTTTACAAGAGGCAGTTGTGTTTCTGTACTTATTGCCAACAATTCCGACCACCAACTACCCCAAAATACTCGGGGTCACATTCGACGGAACAACTCTAGTTTAGTAAAAACGATCAAATTTTTCTGAAATTTTTTTCAGAGGTAGGTATTTTTACCCTAATTATGGGGATATGTTTTTTTTTGGGGACGTACCCGGTTACCCGGTTATTTACCCGGAAGTTCGCGTACGGGTACCCGGTTATATCCGGTTCTACGGATCCGGTTAATATAATATGGGTATCATTTTAAAGGTTATAAAAATACCATTGAGTGGTAATATGATGAGGTTATCTCAAACCATTTTGGGGATATAGTCAAAAAACTGGGTTTTGGTCCCCGATTTTTTTGAAAAACTCCCTAAAAGTCGAACTTGGGTCCATTATAGTCCCTCTCCAAACAGGATCCAAATGATAGACCACATTTGCCCTTTCCAAAATGGTGCGATATGTGGCTGTATCTGTTGTGGATCAAAAGATATGGGCCTTAGAATATGATATGGGCCTGATACCCATATTATATTAACCGGATCCGTAGAACCGGATATAACCGGGTACCCGTACCCGAACTTCCGGGTCAAATAACCGGGTAGCCGGGTACGTCCCCCAAGAAAAAAAGATATCCCCATAATTAGGGTAAAAATACCTACCTCTGGAAAATTTTTCAGAAAAATCTGATCGTTTTTACTAAACTAGAGTTAAGCCCATTCGACAGTATGTTCAAATAGTCCGCACAAACCACAGCTATTTGCGATAAGTTGAAAAGTTGGTACAAGGTCCTCAAGATGCTTGCCGGCAGCACTTGGGCGCAGATAAGGAAACCTTGTTGACCTCTTACAAAGTGAAAGTTATAATTTCTACCCAAAATCCAGTAAGGAATGCTATGGAATTAAAAACAAAAAACACACATACACAAAATATGTACTTTGATTTGATAGGCCATCTGTCAAATTTTTCCATATAATATTTCACATGGTTGGCAACATTGCACATCGAATTCTAGTAGAAATTACGCACTTTGACAGTTAATCGAGACATCAACTGCTCTAAGTGGACTACCTCATGACACAATGAATAGGTAGTCCATTTAGAGCAGCTGATGTCTTGATTAACTGTCAAAGTGGTCAATTTTACTTGAATGCGATGTGCAATGCTGCCAAATTTTTGAAATATTATAAGAAAAAATTTGACAGATAATCGAGACAAAAAAAATGTTTTTGTTTTGATACATCACCTTATCATTGCATCATGGACTACCTATTCATTGTGCCATGGTATTAACGTAGCATAACGACAACAAAACAGAAAAAAGTGCTACCAAGTTAAGAAATAAGCATATGTTCTGACCAGTGTTGCCATAATGTAAAATTAAGCAAGTCCCAGAAGGTACCAAAAATATAAATTTATATTGTCAGAAGAAGTAGTCTATTGACGCGAATATTATAGTCCATATAACCTCCAGGATATGGCTAAAGATTACGAACCTGCAAATTAATTAAATTCTTAAACAAACTAAATAAGACTGCAATATGTTTTCCGCTTACTGAATAAATCCCCAATTGTTGTGGGCAATGACGCAAATTGGCAACCCTGCTTCTGATATCATTTATATTGCATAGATTTTGCAATATCCAGAGATTTGCTGCAAAATTTCCAACCGAAATCAAATAACCATGGCAAATTTTATGCAGGATAGCGTTGTAAAATATGCCTGTTCCTGCGGCATACTGAATCCAATTAGCAAGTTATTTTTCTGTCGTCATTGTCCTAAGCTAAGGTGTGGTTTTTGTGTCTGCCACGAAGTGAGTAATCAAAAAAACTTGTCCATCATCTAATATTGAAAAAAATGAAAGTTCGTTCTAATAAAACTTAACTCCATATTTGGTGCAGGTGGATTCCAATTTTTGTTCCAATTGCTTAGAGAATATACCCTCATCGGAGGCGCGTAACAAAAAGAACTGCTGTGCCAATTGTTTCAATTGTCCATGTTGTCATCATACTCTGTCGGCCAGGGCCACCACGGTGATTGTCCAAAAGTGGGTAATAATTAAAATCAGAAATACCATAGAAATATAATTTTTGTTTCGATTTTTTAGAAAGCCCGATGAGGCCGCCAAGGAAGGCGAGTCAGCTGCTGGCTCCGAAACTAAACCGGACCCATCAAAGGTCATTACCAAGAAAATGTATTATTTGTCTTGTTTGGCTTGCAGATGGACCTCAAGGGATGTGGGTATACCCGATCAATCTGTGGGTAAGTAAATAAGGGGATAAAATATTAAAAAATATGTTAATAAAATTTGTATTTCCCTTGTATATTTAGCTACCGGTTCCTGGCCTGATAACGAGTGTGCCTATCAAACCCGTTTCAATGCCTTGGCCGAGTATTATCAGGCAGTTGTGCAACAGGATAAACAAGAACGCCAAGAGTATTTGCGTCGCAAAACTCCCAAGACTCATAAATTCCCCAGTTTAACTGATCGCACCGGCCTCACGGTATCGATTATAAGACGTCAAATGGGTTGGTCGGATAAAAATACTCAAAAAGCTAAACCGGTTAATATAGCTCCAGCTCAGAACACCGAAGATGTGGGCCAATTGCCAGAAAGTATTTTTACGCAAAAAATCAATTTGAGGAATAGTAAGTAGCTCGGTTACTATTTGTTAACAACAGTGATTTATCAAAATTCTATTTTCCAGTCACCACGGTCAAGCAGCGTCACAATCAACCATGCGAACAACCATTTACCATTAACAAGCTGTATCCCCAAAGACGTGGCCTTTGGATTAAGCGGTCTTTGCGTTGTCGTGAATGTGAACATAATGTCATTAAACCGGAATATCACCCAACTTCGGTGAAATATCGTATACAATTATTTGCCAGCTATCATGTTCCGGATGTATTGCTGGTCAGATGTGAACAGCCATTGAAGGCCGGTCAACCCAATACAGTTATTTTGAAATTAAGCAATCCAACTCTACATGATATGGAAATAAATATTGTGGAACTGCCCACGGAAGAAGATGAATTAAAAATGATTGAGGAATTTAAACGTACTTGCACCTTGAAGGACACCTCATTGACAGCAGCCACTGCCATGGATTCATTGAAATCTCTAACAGGTTCTCCCAGTCTTACTGGTACTGGAAGTTTGACAAACACTTCATTGGTTCGTCAGACATCTATACTCGAAGAGCCAAGAGTTGTAAAACTTAAGGTCAATAGCAAACTGCAGCCACCGGAGGCCAGTTTTATTTTGAATTTAAGAGATGATTCCAAGGAATTTGATGATGAGCCACAAACATCAACAAAAGTCGAACCAGAGTGAGTGAATTAAACTGTAATTTGTAACTACAATTTTTTTACTAAAACCCTTTTTTTTGTTTTTCAGATTTATTGTATCACGTAAATCGAATAAGGTTTATTTGCGCTTGAAATTCATTCCTGATGAGGATTTAAAATCGGGCAATGATGTCTTTGTTGGTTTCAATATGCTCTACACTTATGTAAATACTGTAACAAATACTCCCGAGAAAAAGGAACCAACAACTCATGTATTAAATTGTCGCATCTATGTTAAAGTGGGTTCTATTGAGGCCTGAGGCTAAGTATTTTGATTTGTCGTAGAAGAAAAATAAGTCTTAAAATGTATTTTACATTTATGTATCGAAGTAATTACTTAATTCTATAACATTTTCCTTTTGTGTGTTTGCTTTATATTTATTTATGCTTTGAAAATAAATACTAATGAATTAAAATCCTATGAAAGTTGTATTTTTGCAGGTTTGAGAGAAATATAAATGGAAAAAATTATCTTTAAAGAAAAACGACTGCTGTTTCGAGTCCTTACAAATATGTCTTATTCTGCATTCCAACTGTTTTGGTACTTAACAAATATTCTTTAATATTTCATGTCTAGTTTGGACCTCAAAAATATTTCTCAATAAAGACTCCATTCTGTTTGGGTCCTTCAATATATTTTTATACTAATTTTAGATCCTTTAAAAATCCACGGTTTTGCCGGAAAAATAATCTTTGGGTCCTTTAAAAATCCACGGTTTTGCCTGAAAAATAATCTTCCCTAACTTTGGGTCCTTTAAAAATCCACGCTTATGCCTGAAAACTGTGCTTCCCTAATTTTGGGTCCTTTAAAAATCCACGCTAATGCCTGAAAAATATTTTCCCCCAATTTTTGGTCCTTTAATATATTCTTTAAAACATCCCCGCCATTTTTTTGTCCTTGAAGCATCCACGTCTACTTTTGGGCCCTTGAAAAGATCCTTTAAAACATCCACACCTACTTTTAGGTCCTTGAAAAGATGCTTTAAAACATCCACGCCTACTTTTGGGTCCTTGAAAATATGCTTTAAAACATCCACGCCTACTTTTGGGTCCTTGAAAAGATCCTTTAAAACATCCACGACTTCCTTTGGGTCCCTGAAAAAATATTCTTTAAAAAATCCACGGCCACTTTTGGGTCCCTGAAAAAATATTCTTTAAAAAATCCAAGCCTGTTTAGGTCCCTGAAAAAATATTTTTTTAAAAAATCCAAGCCTTTTTAGGTCCCTGAAAAAATATTCTTTAAAAAAATCCGCGCCTGTGTAGGTCCCATACTGGTGTTAATAACAACAAACAATTATGTATATATTTATATAGCTTTTGTTTTCTTTTATTTATGTAAATATATTTGCTACAAGTTATAAATACGATGGTTTCTTAAAAAAAATAAAAAAAAAAGGAAAAAGGATTTCAAATCAAAAAGGAAATTTTGCGAAAAATTAAAAGAAAAAGTACAAGAAAATTGTATTCTATCATATGACAAAAGGAAACAAATTAAATTAAATCTAATAGTGGCTGGCTTTAAAATTATTAAAAAAATGTAAATTAAATGGATATCCCTAATCTCACACTCGTCGTCGACAGAGTCTCTCTCTATACTGCAACTCCCCAATGTCCCCCCGACGTCCTTCCTCTTACAAGGCCATTTTACGACCTTCAATGGAAATTTCAACAGCACGACGACTACTGGCTTTCAATCGTTTTTGATCCAAGAATTTTTTCATGTGTTTCTCAAAACGATTTGGTTTACGTTTGGTCGATGTTGAAATCTCACCCTCCACCGTTGATTTAGGGCGATTTACATATTCTTTTTCCGAAGGACGAGGTACTCGGGCTCTGGCAACCCAACCAGGATCACCAGGACGCAGTGTATTCTCTTCCTCTGCCTTGGCGAATGCAGAATTAATACCTTTCTTTTTCTTGGAAGTTGAGGGTTCTGGTTCGGGGGTTTTCTTACGCTGCCTGATTGTGACACGATCACGTTCTTGACGTTCCTCCTTAGACAAGGCTCTAAAATCTGTTGTTAGATTGAAGATTGGTCTTGCCCATTCGGATATTAAACGACCAGCACGATCACGATTGGTTTTAGTTTCTTTAGGATGCTTATATAAATACATAACGGCCTTGCCAATGCCGGATTGTTTTAGATAACTTTTATCAATTGGCGGGAACTAAAAAATGGAGAGTAACAAGAAATTATAACTTATTTTAACAACGATGCTAAATAACAATCCAATACTCACATCTCCTAATAAACGAAGAATGCTTTCACGAATCTGTATACAGGGTAAACTCTTATTGGGCAATGGTGCTAGCCAATCAGTCAGTACATTTAGAATATTATGTTCCATAAAGGCCAATTGCAGATCCTTTTTAATGAGCTGTGACATGACCGTCTTAAGCATGGAAATTTTCTTTGTTGCCGGTTTACCCTGCATATTCAATTGGCGATCTTCGTCGGAGGCATTTTTCATACTCATAATAAGCTGATCAATAAGATCGTCATTGTCATTGATTAGATCAATGTCACGTTTACGGCGTTTGGTACGTTTCTCTTCCTTTTTACGCAATAACATGGCATCGAAGTCAGAGATGAAATTGTCGTTTCTGGAAAAAGAAAATTAAAATCAAATAAAAAAATAAAATTATGATGAACCACGTAATTATATTCCAACATACTCTCTGTCCCTATCAAGGGGAATGTTTTCATCGTCTGAACTATCGCCCATTTTTTGGGCACCACCCTGAGCACCACCGCCTTCTTCCTCTAGTTTATCTTCGTCCTCGTCTTCATTGTCAGTATCTGTGATTTTTGTTTTCTTCTTTTTCGTGGAAACGGGACCATCTTCTCCTGTAAATAGGACAGAATCGAATGAGTATTTAAGATCGCTTTATAGTAAATCTAAAACTTACCTTCCGAATCACTTAGAACCGCCCGCTTTTGTGCCTTCTTTCCCTTGCTTGTTGGCGATTCTGATCCACTGCGAGATCTGGATCTCGAACGAGAACGTGATCTAGATCTGGAGACTGAACGTGACCTGCTGCCAGATTTACTACGCGAGCGTGAACGAGAACGGGAAACACTTCGAGAACGTGAACGGGATCCGGAACGAGATCGTCGAGATGCGGACCTTGATCGGCGAGAGCCACTTCGTGAACGAGATCTGGATCCAGATCTACTGCGACTTCTGCGTGAGCCGGAACGTGAACGCCTGGATCCGCTGCGTGAGCGACGAGATCCACTACGTGATCTGGAACGTGAGCCTGATTTAGAACGACTGCGTGAACGAGAGCCAGAACCGGATCTAGATCGTCTGGAACCGGAGCGTGACCTTCTCGATCCAGAGCGAGATCTCCTCGAACCGGAACGAGATCTCCTGGAACCTGATCGAGATCTTCTGGAGCCTGAGCGTGACCTTCTTGAACCTGAGCGTGATCTTCTTGAACCCGATCGCGATCTGGAACGGGAACGTGACCTTTTCGAACCAGAGCGAGATCTTCTCGATCCAGATCGAGATCTTCTAGATCCTGAACGTGATCGTCTTGATCCCGAACGTGACCGTGACCTTGATTTGGCTGAACCTGATCTGGAACGACTGCGTGATCTGCTACCGGAACGACTCCGTCTTGAACCACTTCTAGAACGCCGTGAACCAGATCGACTGCGACGCGAACCAGAACGGCTACGTCGAGATCCACTACGTGAACGTCTACCCGCAGAGCCGCTAGCAGAGCGAGATCTGCTGCGACTTTTCGACCGGGATCGACTGCGACTTTTACGTTCATTATTTACAGGACTACCGCTACGACTGCGGCTTCTTGAATGTTCTCTTTCGGCTGACTCATCCAGCTGTTTGCCATCCTCTGCCGTGGTGTTTGGTGAGCGTGATCTTGAGCGTGATTTACTCGATCTTGTTTGTCCGGAAGTGTTGGCGTCACCTTCGACAGAGGCAGATCTGCTGCGACTTCGAGATTTTCTTTCTTTTCCAGCTAAAGGTGATGCCGGTGCCTTATCCGTTTCGGTAGGATTCTGTTGTTCGTCTTCATTGTGGCCTTGAAAAAACAAAAGAAAATACATAGGAAATATAAATAAAACATTAAAACATAACCTCAATGAGGAATGATGCTCTGCCACCATCAAAATAACAGCAATAGTTAATCGAACACAAAAAGGTTTATATTTCTAATGCCAGCTAGGTTTCTCCATTCATATCCCCGGCACTTACCATTCTCTACCGAAGGCATATTTGCTACAATAACTATTATCTACTAGTGCCGGAAAAACCGGATTCAATTCGAATGTTCAAGAAATTCTTTAGATTTTTTCTTATTTTTCCACAATTTTACGATTTGTTAAACGCGTCTTACATCAATCGTTTCGTTTTTCATTTATAAAATGCTTGTTCTTGCTACCAACAAGGCAGTGCTGCAAATGCAATGGTTACCTGTAGTTGAACTCGTATTTGTGTGTGTGTTGGGTTAGTGACTAACGTAACGTAAACATATTGTACGTCTGTATTTATAATGCAGGGATGGAAAGCGGTGTATATGGACATTTTCAATGCATGTGTTTTATGGATATATTTTGTTTGTTTTTTTTTTTAAATTTAATTGTATATAAATTATTTAATTAAATTATTATTATTTAATTTAATGTATATTTTTGATACATTCTTATTATTAACAAATTATTACCTAGAAGTAATTCGCTTATGACACAAGCCTAATTGAGTGGATTGGCGGAATGCTGAGAATCAGATTGTATGAGAACTTCAAAATTCATTTGCACGACGTATAAATAATTCATTGCTGTCATTAAGGAAGATAAGAGATCAATCTCACAAGTCACTGCGGGATTCGTTCTCTCACATCCAATTGGCACTTCAATGCTGTTTTATGTAAAGATGAGACAGAAATAGAGACAATCAGGGATCTACTACATGTCAGGATAAACACAATAGACCAATGGACTTATGCAACGATACCACGATGGCGTACGAGGAAATCGACGCTGAAAACACGGTTACCAAAGTCACACCTTACTGTAAACAGAGGCCGTCAGTTATAGATAGAATGATATAGATGCAAGTATACACGAAGGGAAAAGGTGTTTTAAACAGTTTTTGGAATCCCCGCTGCCAATTTCGGTATCCTAACTATGTTCAATGAGGCACTGAACGGGAAGAAATGTAGGTGCGCAATTTGCTATTATCATTGATATGTCGATCAATGCTCCGGTAAAATCAGTTGCGAATTACTGATTTTTGAGGATCTAAATTGGTTCTTACTTCTATGTCCAATAATCTTTCCATTGTTTTCAATAGGTAGAAAAAGAGTTATCGGGCTGTAGTCCTTAGGAAGCGTGTTGCTGGGCTTTCCCGCTTTGGTACTAAAAAAACACTTTTACTTGCCTCCACAAGCCTTAAAGATTTTCTTTATGACGTTTAAGGCTCGTTCTGCTGCAACGCAGGTATAATGCCGTCTGACCCAGGATATTTGAAAGGTGTTTTTTGTCCATACCTTACAGTTTTGGATAGGTAATTAGACCATTTATGTAAGATTTTGATTCCTTGATCCACAACACCGGCCGAGTTTTTTTCCTAGTGTAGGTAATTGGATAAGAATTCTCATAGCAACTCAGGAGATTATTTGTCAACGTCACTGATCGTACGGAGGTCGTAACGACTCTTGATTCCTGATGCTGTTCCAGCTTTAAAACTGTTCCAATTTGTTCTCCTAGGGTTCCTTTAAATTTCTGCTTTACTCCGTTATTGGAATAAGCGAATAATACAACTTGGGTTTAATTCCGAAGGTCTCCGCTAACTATAGGCTGAGTGTATATATTTAATTTAATTTTTATTCAACAATAACATGCATACAAAGCCTTCGGGCCGAATAAAATGATAGATTATGATCGGTTCAGATTTAGATATAGCTCCCATATATGTTTTCGTACGATTTAATGTGAATGCTGCACCAAAGTTCCTATATATCTTTCGATTTACACGAAATTTGGTATAGCGTACTGAAATAAGTCTAGAATGATGAATGTGAAGTTTCGTGAAAATCAGTACAGATTTAGATATACCTCCCATATATAGTTTCGCCCGATTTTAGGTAAGTGGTACCCCAAAGTTCCTGCAAATCATTTAATTTGCACGAATTTTGGCATAGCGTACTAAATTAAGTCTAGAATGATGTGTGCTAAGTTTCGTGAAAATCGGTTCAGATTTAGATATAGCTCTCATATATATTTTCGTCTGATGTTAGGTAAATAGTACACAAAAGTCCCTATATATCCTTCGATTTGCACGAAATTTGGCATGACATACTGAATTCAACCTGGAGTGATTTATGCCAATCGGTTCAGATTTAGATATAACTCTCACATCTACATATATATTCGTCCGATTTTACATAAATGGTTGTTCGAGAGAACATTGACATGGATACATATGTACAATATACATACCCAAGTGGTGAAGGGTATCATATAGTCGACTCAGTCCGACTTTACAACTTTCCTCACTGGTTTATTCTGAATCCTCATGTGGTAGCAAATCTTTTTAACAAATAGTCGACAAATAACGGTAACCTTATTATTGAGTGTGTTGGGGAGATCGGGCACCTCATTTTAATCAAATTGGCAGTAATTTGGTATCATGTCATAGGCCGCCATTTTCGAAGATCCCGAAAGATTATAGCAATTTTAATAGTCCCCCTCATGGATGTTTTTTTTTTTTGTTATTGCCTTGTCATCCCTGGAACTCAAAAAAGTAGCCATAAACAAAACCACTATTGCTGTAAAAGTAATCGATAATCAAACCTAATATATGTTATTTTTTCACAGAAAATTTGCGAAAAATTTGTTGCTTAGTATTCAATATTAGAAAAAAAAAGAAAAACTAAAATGTAAATACAAATTGTGGAACAATTAAAAAAATTACAATTTTACTAACATAACACAAAACGAGAAAAAACAACATCATTTTCTCGAACGACAAGAAATTTGCAGCAGTTTCGTTTGTGTTTCGTCAACCAAAAGAAATTTTCTTTGTTGTGAAATTGGATAGATATTTCTTCGGTGTGTAGATTTTCCTTTTCGACAAACACACAGAGGACAAACAATAGGAAAATCTAACAACTAGGCAAGATGACGTCGAATCGAGGAAAATATTGTGGTATTCCGGCTGGATTTGAAGATGATGACGACAATAGTTTGGATGGTTTGATGTGTTCGACACAAAATCTTAAAATCACTGTAGTTCCTGATATAACGGCTGGTGCCGGATTAAATGGTGAAGATTTTGACAAGACACTAAGTCCGGAGTTGAATGCATGGTTTGAGGATTTTAAGGAGACATTTGGAAAATGTAGGTTATTAGTTGTAAATGGATGATTATAATATGAAAATTATTTTGCCAAGATCCACACCCGTTATACATACATGCATTCCATTCGTATGGGCGTATGTGTGTAATGGGTGGAGATATCAGGTTTAAGTCCAACTTAAAATAACATTTCATCATTTATTGGCATTGTTGCAGTAGCTATTTTTATAATAGATTCGAATTAACCCAATTTGATTTCTTCCCCATAGGCAATCGCACACCGGCAACACAGCATCAATTAAAATTGGTCCTTATACGAGATCCTCAACCCTTGCTACAGGCATTGCGTTTATTTGCCTCCAGCCCTGGCTGTAATTATTTGAAAAATAAAAATATGGCATTATTTATACTCGAATCGGTGTGTGAGCTATACAAACAACATCCCCATATTGAGGCAACCTGTGATGATAATACCCGAATGGTGGCTTTTAATTTTGTCAAAACTAGTGGCATTGTACCACTCTATAAGGCTGTGACCGAAACGTATCAATTACACAAAATACAAAACTATTTGATACCAAAATTACAAAAATTATTAAATGATAAATTCTATCGTGATGTAAGTTATAATAACTGAAATCAAATATTCGAATTTTAATGAAATTGTATTTTTTGTATGTATGTTTTCAGGCTGCATATTGGTCAATATTTTTAAACTGCACTCATATCTTTGGTTTATTTGATTTGCTATTACCTTTGCTGCTACAGGACAAAATCAATTTGGCTGAGGAATTTTTGAATGTGGCAAAAGAACAGCAATTACCTACAGTACAATTTTTAGATTCTCTATTGGATCGTAAAAAGACTGTCTATGAAAATTGTGATGAAATTTTAAAGTAAGTTGGTGATAATTTTGGAAAAAGAAAACATGATAATAATGACTTCGATGCGGATATATTGGTGCACCATTTACATTAAATCGGACGAAAATATATATGGGAGCTATATCTAAATCTGAAACGATTTTCACGAAACTTAACACACATCATTCTAGACTTATTTCAGTACGCTATACCGAATTTCGTGTAAAACGAAAGATATATAGGAACTTTGGTGCAGCATTTACATTAAATCGAACCAAAATATATATGGGAGCTATATCTGAACCGATTTTTCCCAATTTCAATATGGTTCGTCCATGGACCAAATTAATGTGCTATGCCAAATTTAACATGGACAGACGGACATCGACTCAAAGAGTGATTCTACGCATTTTGTTATATATATATATATATATAAAAGAGGCTCCGACAATAATTTCGATGTTTTGCAAACAGAATGACTAAATTAATATACCCTCCATATTATCTTCAAAGTCATCGGACAAATATTTTTCTTCGTATTTTTTATTCAAATGCCTTTTATTTTTCTCTTTCCAGGAAATATAATTATTCCGATGTTAAGCATAATATATTAAGTTACCGTCCTATGTCTAAACTAGTAACACGTTTAGCTAAAAAATACAATATAAATCCTGAATATACACCGAATTTAAAATATTCGAAATCCTGTTCGTATCTGCATTATTTATATCACAAATATCAAGAGGGTGGCATGAGTCTGGACTCATGGCGTGAATTGGCTCGTGAGGAGGCCAAAAAAAGTAAGGCTCTGCAATTGGATCTAATCGGTAGGATAACAAATGCTGGTGATTGGGAAGAAGCCAACTATTGGGTACAATTATATAATATACCACTGGAAGAATGTCCAGCCGCATTACAAATGAGAATGGGAAATCGTGATGCAATGGCAGCGGATAGCCTTAATGATTCCAATGAGTCATCATGGGATGTGGCAGCAGCAGCAACGACAACACCAACAACAACGGGGAAAACAAAAACGAAACATAAAAACCATAGTTATGGATCTCCCCACTTGCAAAAGGATGTCTACTTGAGCTTGCAGTTGCCCATGGAATCAATCATTTTGGTGGACACACAACCAAAGTTCCTCGAAATGTTACAATATCTAGAACAATTTTTACTTATCGGTTTCGATTCGGAATGGAAACCATCCGTGAACAATGACAATCGTGTATCGCTTATACAGTTAGCCACTGTGGAGAGGGTTTACTTGGTTGATTGCTTGTCGGCGGAACTTGACAGTGAGCTGTGGAAAATGATGGGACGGCGAATATTTAATAATTTGGAAATTCTAAAATTGGGTTTCTCTCTACACTATGACCTCCAGATGTTACACAAATCGTTGCCTTTACAATTGAATCTGCAGGCGACTTCGTGTTATTTGGATTTACGTGATCTGTGGCGTCGTTTGAAATATATGCAAATATCTCCATTCCCATATCAGCAAATATCGGTGGCCGGTGAAAGTCTGTGTGCGCTGACGGAAATGTGTTTGGGTAAAAAACTGGATAAATCAAATCAATGTTCGAATTGGGCAAATCGCCCTCTGCGACATGATCAAATTACCTATGCTGCATTGGATGCCCATTGTCTGTTGCAAATATATCAAGTTCTAGCTGAACTGTTACTGCGCATCGGCATTGACATCGATGTTTTGGTTGAGGAGATAACAACATCTAAATCTGGTTTCTTGTTTCGTACAAAGGCAAAGCCACAACAGTCCACAGCACAAAATGCATCGGCGGGCTATAACAGAAATGCTCATCAGAATCTCAGCGAGTGGGGCCAACATCATCATAAAGCGAAAGTGCAGAAAGTAAAGTAGGTAGAAGCTGAGCAAGATTTTTATGTGAGTTTCCTTTCAATCCAAATTTATTTTCTTATCTTCTCAGATCATCTACCCAAATTCGTTTCCTCTGCGATTCAATGTTAATAGGCCTCTCCAAGGAATTGCGTAAACTTGGCCTAGACTCTTTGGAGATAAATGAACATAAAAATGATACACAATTCTATTTGGATTTAGCACGTCGCGACCAGCGTATTGTTCTGACACGTGATTCGCGATATTTAATATTTTCACGAGAATTGGGCCAGACACATTGCATGGATATGCCATGTGATGCTATTGAAAATCAAGTTGTACAAATTTTACAAAATTTTCAAATTCACATCGATGAACGGCAGCTCTTTACAAGATGTCTTGAATGTAATGGTAATGATTTTCTTTGGGCCAATCGTTTCGATATGCAGATAATGCGTTTTGGCCAGCTGCATCAAGAGGATAATGGAACGTTGGCGCATGACATTAAGGAGGATGCCAGCAAATTTTGGAATTTACAAAAAATCAATGATGCAAATATTCAAACAAAAACTACACCCAAAGGGAATCTCATAAAAGTGAAACGCATCAAACCTTTTTATCTATACAATAAGGACTATTTTTATATATGTGATGTAAGGATTTAACTTGGCTCTATATTTGATTTTAAATTATTTAATAATATTGTTTTTTTATATACAGAACTGTGGACTTTGTACTTGGCCCGAGGCAAATAAACTAAATAAAGTTACAATGGCGTATTTATCTCATCAAACATCAGCTTTGTCCGGCTGTGTTGGTGGTGCCCATGGGACCAGCAATACAGCCAATTGATTTTCTGTTATATGTCATTACTATATATATACAAACAAAGGCGATCACGTTTAGCATTTCTCTAGAGTGGAATATCTTTTGTTTTTGAATTTCTTTCTATAGAGAAGTTAAATATTTTAATTGTAATCAACAAAAAAATCAAAATTGAATTCGATATGTGATTGGAAAACTTTCATATAAAAATTCCCTCCAATTTTTTATTATTTTTTTCATTGCATTGTTAATATATATCATCTATATATAATTTTACACATTTTTAATAGTAGTACAACTTGATAAATAAATATATAAACACTTATCTATGTGTATATTTCTCAACTGATTGCAATAAATGGATTAATTTGAATCTAATTATTTTTATTTCTATATGTATTTGCAGAATCATATATATATTCTGAGTTGAAAATGTTATAATTTTTTTATTTCAATTATATATGTTAATGTAGTATATTATGAATGAATTTCTATTATATTTGAGTTAAATAAAGTTATACATACCACACAAATAATATGGCATATGAATTTAAAAAAGGTAAGAAGCTAACAAGAAGTATTAGGAGGTAGGTGGGAAATAGTTTCTATGACTATATAAATTGGCCAGAAAACTTATTACGTTGGTTGCACTTTCCAAACCACCCAACCATTGTCGCCGTCTCATCCTCGTCAACGCAGAGTCTGCAGTAATCATTAACGTCATGGTCCAATTAATTGGTAAAGGCCCTGATATTGCAATGGCCACTAATGACTTCTGTCATTACTCTAATTTCAGTTTTACTCAGGTTTAACAGTGAGTTTGTACTCATGGTTGACAGAGTCGGCCAAATAGATCATTGATCATTGGCTCGTTCGTCGAAGAACGCCTCAAAGTTCCGAAAAAGATGACAAATGGGTGGTTTGATTGAGCCATCAATTGCTAGATCTGTAGATTGAGATCCTCGTCTAGCTAATTCGTCTGCTTTTTCATTAGCCATGATGTCACGGTGTCCTGGTACCCAACACAGCCGATAGCTGTAAGTAAGTGTTTCCAAAATTGCTGTACACACGAGGACGACCTCAGATTTGATGTTACAGTATTAGATGGCTTTAAGAGCCGCCTGACTATCCACAAAGATAGTCACCGGTTCAAAGATCTATGCATCTAGACTTTTAATCAATTCCGCTGCCTTCCAAAAAGCGAAGATTTCAGTTTGGAAAACACTACAGTTGCCCTCCAGCTTGTAGGTAGGCTCAAGACCTAGACTTTCGCAGTATACACCAGCCCCTATATCTTCTTTCATCTCGAGGACGACCTTAAAATTTCCATTACAATTCTGCTGCCTTCCAAATAGCAAAGATTTCAGCATGGAAATACCACAGTTGCTTTTTAAAGTAGACACCAGCCCCTGTACCTTCTTTCATCTCGAGGACGACCTCAAATTTGATATTACAGGATTTGAGGGCTTTAAGAGCCGCCTGACTATGTACAAAGATAGTCACCGGTTCAACGATATCTGCATTCAGACTTTTTATCAATTCCGCTGCCTTCCTAAATCGCGAAGATTTCAGCTTGGAAAACACTACAGTTGCTATACAGCTTGTAGGTAAGCTCAACGCCTAGCCTTTCACAGTAGACGCCAGCCCCTGTACCGTCTTCCATCTTGGATACGTTTGTATAAAAAGCCAGACCGTCTGGAGGAGGGTTCCAGTTCCAGTCGTCTCTACCGAGGGATAACGACATATATATCGTCAAATCTCAGGACTGTTGATATATAGTCGCTTAGTTTTACACGTTGGTCCAATGTCATATCTAGTTCGTTCAGGATACATCCATGCCCGGAGGTACAATTTCGCCATAGATTTTATTCATGCAGCCTTAGGGCACTACGCGCTGCCTGACACTTAATGCTGAGACCCAGAGGCCTTAAGTTCAGTATTGCGTTCAGAGCTGCTTTTCGCGGCAGCTGTTATTACACTCGAGGCGATGCTGAGACCCAGAGGCCTTAAGTTTAGCATTGCGTTCAGAGCTGCTTTTCGCGGCTCCAATTATTACAGTCGAGGCGGCTCTTTGTAACTTGTCTAGTTTGCTGGATGTCGATTTGTTGCGCAAGCAGTGCCAACAAACAAGAGAACCATAGGAAAGGATGGACCTTACCACTGTGTTATACATCCAGTGTATAGTCGATGGTTTTAGCCTCAAACTTTTCGCAATGGAGTTCTTGCATGCATAGATTGTAATTTGCCCTCTCTTCGTTCCTGTTCGATCGTACTTGACAATCCAGGATTGTGCCAATGATTTCTGCACTCCATCCAGTGTTGGTGGAGCAAAGACGCCGGAATTACGTTTCCTAGTGAACATGACCAGTTTTGTCTTTGTTGGGTTCAGTATCAGTATGTTGTTGATTACCAGTATCCATAGTAACTGCGGGAGCACCCCTCCTCTACTTACTGTTTTCCTGATTTTTTGTATCCTCTACATTTGAATTTAAAATTCTGCTATTTAGCATATTATCTTTCCAACAAGTAAGGGTTTCAGGAATGCAAAATATTTTTTAGTGAGTGGTTTACGGACTCAAGTTTAACGTTGTTGAAGGCTCCTTCTATATCTAAGAACGGAAAGTTCGAGTTTTCCATATTCCTCTCAATATAACTTACCACCTCATGCAGTGCAGATTCCACAGACTTGCCTTTTATATATGCGTGCTGCGAATTGCTAAGAGAGGTAGTGTTTCCACGACTCCTAATCTCCAGGTTGATCTGTCTTTCGAGAGTCTTGAGGAGAAAGGATGATAGGCTAATGGGTCCATAGGCCTTAGGTGCAGAGTGGATTCGATTACCAGCTTTGGGAATGTATGTACACTTTACCTCGTTCCGTAGACCCGAAACGCATGCACGCCTCATGCGTGCATCAAGGATCAGATATATACATGGCGAGGCAAATTGAAGCATCGCCAGTGTGATACCATCTGGTCCTGGTGATTTATATGGTTTGAATGTGTTGACTGCTCAGCGTATCTTATTTCTGCTAACCATCTTGTCAATGAGATCCAAATATATAGTCGCAGAAGGTTGAGTGTCATCACATTCAATGTTGATGGTATACACATCTTTGCAACATGGGAAATGGGTCTATACTAGAAGGTTAAGAGTCTCAAAACCAGAGTCCATCCACGCTTGGATAGTAATCTTCGAAACCTAGCAGCGTCGTTGACCCCTTCTATAGACTCACAGAAATTTATCCAAGACATTTTCTTGGCACACTTAATCTCACTTTTGTATTTGTTGAAACTTGCTTTATAGGATTTCCAGTCAATATCGAGTTTTGATTTATGCGCCCTGTTGTACAGTCGTCTGGTATGTGATATGGCTTCTATATGTATGTTCGTCCGAATGAGGGTCGGCCTTGTGCGCATCTCCTCCAATTTGAAAGACCACGTTCCAAGATGTTGTTTTCTACTTCGTCTTTCCATCTAATTCGTAGCCTTCCCCTTCTACGGAAACCATTCGTTTTATTTATGGCGGTACTAATGTATATAAAATCTTTGATTACCTCGAAACTGTAGTTCAGAAGTTCCACAGTTGGTCCGAGTCTACTGGACGTCTTGCGTGTTGATACCATCAGCTTGGTCTTCTCTCCGTTTACTGCCAGACCCACTTTGGCAGACTCCTTCTCAATTTGTTAAAAGGTGGCTGTTACCGCTCTCAATGTTCGACCCATTATGTCGCAGTCATCGGCGTAGGCGAGTAACTGTCTGAATCCTCGTTCGGTATTAAAGTGCTCCGAGAGGTCCTTTCCGACATTAACTGCTGATCTTGTATCAGTTAAAGTTATTCTGCATAGCTGAATTAATTTGGCAGGAATGCCAAACGAAGACATTTCTTTAAACACCACTGAACGGTTAGAGCTATCGAATGCGGCTTTATAGTCGACGAATAGGTGGAATGTGTCGATGTGTTTTTCGTGGGTTTTTTTTCAGGATTTGGCGCAGAATGGAAATCTGGTCAATGGTGGATTTGCCAGGTCTAAAGCCGGCAATCTATCTGTTGCGTTTGCAGCTTTTCGACGTCAAATTTACGTGTTAATTTAGATCGCAACTTTGCTGCTACATTAAGACGGGTGCGTACCTTGGCTGCCACAAGGTAATGGTCCGAATCGTTATTCGCTCTTCGGATCGATCGGACGTCTAAAACACTGGATGAATGCCTTCCGTCTATCACAACAAACTCAATTTGATTTCTTGTTGCTTGATCAGGAGAAATCCTGGTGGCCTTGTGTATATCGAGATGCTTGAATCTCGTGCTGCTAACTACCATGTTTTTTGCTGCCGCGAAGTCAATCAACCTCATGCTGTTGTCGGATGTTTCTTCATGGAGGCCGAATTTTCCGACGGTGGGACCAAACATATTTTCCCTTTCGATTTTTGCATTAAAATCTCCTAGCAGAATTTTAATGTCATGACCAGGGCAACGGTCATATGCTTTTTCTATGCGCTCGTAAAATATGTCTTTGGTCATCTTTATCTTCGGTCGGAGCATGGGCTCAAATGAGACCGATGTAGAAGAACTTCACTTTTATACGGATTATAGCAATTCGCTCATCTACTGGAGTGAATTTGGAGGCGAGGTTTTTTTATTTTTCTGTTAAACATAAATACGCAGCCAAATTCATGTCTCGTTTCATGTCAGCTATAATACATCTGATTTTCTTACTCCAGTCCCATTCCATTGTATTTTCTGTAAGGCAATAATATCACCTTTGTACTTCTTGAGTGCATCCGCCAAAGCGAACACTGCGCCTGTTCTGTACAACGTGCACACATTCCAGTGCAGATTGGGAGATCGTGGTCCTTTATACGTTTGCGGGGATCGTCAACATTAGAGGGGTTTGGTTTTCTTTTCCTTTGCTTTTTTATAGTAGGAGGGGTTTTCCGAGTGTGGGCAATTAACCCGACGCCGCAACCCATTTTTTATAGTTCGAATAGGTGAACTCGCGGCACATATCAGCGGGTGATGAAAATAGCTAC